GAAAAATCTCGAGCTGCACGAATTAGCATTGGTTCCGCCTTTCGTTCTTGAAGAAACTTCACGAACAACTCGGTGCTAGGATGGCCTAAATTATTATGCAACCGACCCAACTCACGCTTCTGACCCTCATCTAAGTCAAGGTACCCCGGCCCATGCCTGGGTATTGTACGGGGCGGAAACCCTTGCACCAAACCACTCGGGACCGAGTCAACGGGGCTCAGCGGTGCCTCCCGGAGAAATCTGAGCCCCTCCGTCGTGAAGCTCTGTGCCCCTTTCTGTTCCTCGCGGTTCCCGTGACTCAGCCTCTGCAACCCTTGATGTACTGAGGCGCTGCGTCGGTTCTGAAGGTGCAGCTGTCCGAAGGCTCCCATACGCTGTCAAACTAATCTTGGCAGGAACCCCTTTTCTATCCCTCCGATATTTAGGGAGTCCCGACCATCTCTCAACATCCTTATCGGCGATGACTTGACCGTCCACTCTTCGAACAGCAACTGTGAAACGGTCTGGCATGTCCTGCGGAAGCGTTTGCGGAGGTGGCGGTTGAACTCTGTTGGTTCCCCGGCTGAGCACTACTACTTGCACGGCAAGGTTGGGAAGCAAACTTTGCACATCCTGGATAATACTGTCGTCCCCTCTTACATAAAACCTACGACGAACTGGAACCCTGTCATTAGCTCTCCTGAATACTCCCATCCAACCTTCATCCCCACTAAGTTCCAGGTTCCGAGCCGTTTGCTTCCCGCGCAGCCGTCGACGTTTCAAAACTTGATGAACTTGTGTCGCATCAGGCAGATCAGAGTGTGAACCCTCCCTTTTGTGTTCCCCTAGCAACAGTTCTTGGTACACTAAAGGTTTATCCTCAACACCCTGAATTCCCAAAGCTACCTGATCAATAAAACGCCTCAAAACCCGAGAGTTCGTACCTGGCTCTGCTGATGCGGGCTGAGGCCTGTGCTCTGTCCATCGAGTGTCCAGTGTTTGCTGCAGCTGTCGTGATGTAGTGTAGATCTGGTGCTGTTTACGCAGGTGGTTGTTGCCCTTGGGTACTGCCCCCTGCTCGGACAGCGATGCGACGGTGCACAGCAGCCCATGCCGAACTTCATCAAGGAGATCGGTCCATTGCGAAAAGAAGCTTTGGTCACAGACAACGTGAAAGTGATGCCCACGTTCTGTTTGGAAAAGAAAGAGCTCTTGAATCAACGTCTCCAACCAAAGCCCCTTTTGGCATCGGCTGCCTCCTCGGGACCAAGTTCCCAAGTTCATCCACACATGTCGTGGCTCATACATAGCGATCGTATGCTGAATCCGCTTGAGCTGTTGATCGAGTGATTTCTCGGGCGCTAAAAGCAGACTCACCGCACGACCACCATAGCGCCTGATCGCTGGACCCAGTTGCCCTGAGTCTCCGGAAGAAATTTCCAGCACATCCAGAGACGGCAGCCGGTATCTAGACACCGACTCGTGCTCCTCTCGAGATTCATGCTGAAGCTGTTGTTCGATAAGTAGAACTCGGTTCTCAATTTGTTCACAAACTTCGGTATTCGCTGCCGTCCATGTCACTGCTGTCTCCATCATACAGCCTTGGCCTCGGCTGTCGGATTGAGACTCACTCGGGTTCACTCCTTGTCGTCGCCCGAGTCGTTGACTGCAATGCTCTCGGCGTCCTTCAGGAGCATCAGCTCCCGCTCGAGGATCGCTCGCCGCGTGCTGATCTCCTCGGCCGAGAGGTCGGGTGGCATCCGAGAGCTGGCACTGATCTCCGGGCGACTGGCTCGCTTGCCCAATCGGCTGCTCCCCTTCTTCATGGGCCCCTCGCTCTTGGCGATCGTCGGCTGGCATAGCTTCCACTCGTCGGCGTCGCTGTTCTCCTCGGTCTTGATCGGGTGGGAAGGTCTGGCCTTTGCTTTGTCCTTCTGCCCCTCCTTGAGGGCTTGCTCTGCTCGCGCCATCGTCTTGAACCGCGCCTGAGCATACCCTTTGAACGAAAGGGCCCAGGCACTGGTCAGCATCCGCTTTCGCGCCATGAGCAGCGCATACTGAAGGTCTTGCTCGAAGATGTAGGCGAAGTTCTCGTTGCGATGTTTCCCGCCCACTGCTGTCACCTCTCCCCATTCCTTCAGGTTGTTGATTCCCGTGGGTCGCGTGTAGGTCACCTCGAGAAAGTCCATGAGGCACAGCGTTCCTTCGTCCAGCTTCAGGCTCTCCTCCCCAGACAACTGCTCTTCGAGGTCCACAGGAGGGAGCTTGCCCTGCATCTTCTCGGCGAACTTGCGGTGCGACGTCGGCATGGTGGCACTCCGAGGAGGTCGAAGGACTGGCCCCGTGCACTGAATCCCGAATCTGATCTGAAGACGGCTGTAGATATAGGATGTTCTCCCATGTCTGTTGGGTGCTTGTATGTTCGGGCACTGCTGTCTCATAGGTGGGCGCTGCGGCTTCCTGCTGCTGCTGCAGATGGGTTTGTGACGTGCTCTGCTGCGGAGGCTCACTGTCTGCCGGGGTGTACAAGGCCTCAGCATGGGACCTTACACTTGGCGCCTGGAGCAACTCAGCGAGATCAACAATCGACAAACCTCGATCATCCACGCGCATCTGGATGCTGCTGCTGCCGCTGCCTACGTTGATATAGCCCTTCCTAACATGAATAACGGCATCTAAATCCCTAAGCAACCTATTCGAAATAAGTAGAGGAGTGTTTCCGGGAATGACTTCCACTCTGATCCAGGTCGAATCTGCGGCCGGGAGCAGCAAGGCATGTTTTGAGGACAGCGTTCCACTGTTTCCGAAGCGAAAAGTCACTTCGGAAGCTGTCTTTCTAACTTCTCGCCGGCACTTTTGAGGCAACCCCTGAAGCATCTGCGCAACCCTGCTCTCGCCGACTACCGTGCGACTAGCCCCAGTGTCCAGAACACCCTCTGCCCCTTCCGTCAAAACCAGGGCAGCTTCAACCGGCGTTGCCTGCCTGTGCGTGGCGGCCTTGCTTAACTCGGACCTCTGGCCCGAAGTGGCCTCAGATGTCGACCTTTTAAGAAGATGATCCTTCGCCTTTGGCGGCATCCTGGCAATCAACGAAAATTGTCTTGCAAGTGCGGCTTCAATGCTGGCAACGCTGCTCTTTACCGACCTCACCTCAGGTGTGGCCAATAGGCATATGTGCCCTGAGCCCTGAATTCCAAAAGGACCCTCGGAGCCTAGAGTTCCGGCCTTGCTGTCTTGATGCTGTTCTCCATCGAAGGTGTAGTAGACGGCGTCTTCCGGAAGGCTCTGAAGGATCTCTGTGGCATACCTGGAGGTCGTCTCTGCTTGTGTAAAATGGGAGATCTCGGTGCGATCTTCTCGCTTAGGACACTCTGGCTTCCAATGTCCTTTGGCTCCGCATATGCGACAGGTGCTGTTTGCGATGCGATCGGCAAGAGACTGTCGCTGCTGGCCATCGAAAGCGCGAAAACCCCCTTTTCCTTTCTTGGCCATTCCTTTGGTTCCCTTCCCTTTGCGGATGGGAAAGTATCCTCTGGATTTCGCTTTGTGCCGCAGTCTCTGTCTTGCCTCGAGGTAGGTGGTGAAGATGGGTGCCAGGTCGGACTCCTGGACGGCATCTATGATGCTCTCCTCAAACTCCGCAATGTAGAGGGCATCCTCGTCATTCTTTTCCAAAGCTGCTGCGAAGATCTCTTCTTCGTAATCGTCCTCGGTCCCCGTGGCCGCCACGTAGATCTCCTCACCTGTCTCTTCCTCGAACGCCGCATTCACATCATACACCTTGGCGCGATCTCCCCCTTTTGCTTGGCTTGCTCCGCGGTGATGGAGGTCATTAAAGAAGCGCGATCCCAGAAGTCTCACTTGCTTCACGGTGTCCTTGTACTTCAGGTCTCCTTGGGCTTCCTTGTCCTCCGGCGCAAGCTGGGAATGGCGCAACAAGATATACGCCCGGACTTCTTCCAGGGTAGTCTTCCTGGAGAGCAGCTCCTCGAAAGCCATGTCATGGCGGGAAATGTAAGAGTCGTTACTCTCATCTGCTTTCTGTGCCACTTGAAACATAGCTTGTTCGAAGTAGTGGTACTTCTCCTCCACGGCAGTCTTTCCCCAAGCTCCTCCAAGAGCCTCCACCAACAACTTCACACCATCCTCCGACTTCAGTTTCTCCGGGCTGATCCGGCTGATTTTATGAAAAGCCGAACCTTCCACCATCAACGCCGCGCGAGGCGGCAGATGCTGCAGGAACTCTGAAGGCCACAGACTTTTCAAGACTGCATGCGATGAGTGTATTCTTCGACATTGGTGGTGCCTGGAATAAAACGAGGAACTTGCTGCCATGGAAGGTGACTGAGCCCTGTCGCTCCACTTCCACCTGCTGCCTCACCCGGGTGAGCTGCACTCGCTTCGCCGTTCCCAGCCATTGCTGAGCACACAACTACGGTTCTTCAGAACCCCTTTTCCCTAGGAACCCCGTTTTCACTAGAACCCCTCTAGTAACAGACCGGGCTCCGCTACCAATGTGAATATGCTCCTAGAACCCTAGGAGCCCGGCCTCTTAAGATACTCCTAAGTTTACCTTGGGGCCTCGAACCTCCAAAGTACTAGGTTACTAGGGGCCTCGAACCTCCTAGTTGAAAGAGGAAGCCCTGCTTCCTGAATAGCCTGATCCCCCGGATGCACCTTGTTTGCTCAAGCTAAACCACGCCCTCCCGCCACAGCTTGAAAGGAGATTGCCAAGACGCCCACAATTGAAGGAACTGCTGGAAACAGACTGGATTCAACAACAACAACAACAACAACAACAACAACAACAACAACAACAACAACAACAACAACAACAACAACAACAACAACAACAACAACAACAACAACAACAACAACAACAACAACAACAACAGCAACAGCAACAGCAACAACAACAACAACACCAACACCAACACCAACACCAACACCAACACCAACACCAACACCACCACCACCAACAACAACAACGACGACGAAGTCTTCCAAGCTCAGACCCCGGCGGACATGCCAGCGATCACATTCGTGCCATGCCCAGTCAAACTTGCCTTCCCAGATTGGAGGTCCAGTCGACACTACGTCGGGGCCAAGCACCACGCACATGTTTCCCGCCGAGAAAGACGACATGCAAACCCTTTTGTCGAGGGAACAGGTACCTCGGAGCTCCAACATCTATCACTAATTTCTCAGCATGGAGTTCTGATGAAGCCGTCAGATACGAGACGGCAAATCTGTGGAGTGTGGTTTCTTGGCAACGGTGTCGCTGCATTGTATTTTATCGCATGCATACTCTGTACTCTGTACGCGTATACAATATACGTGCATACGTGCGCATGCTATGACGCATGAGCTTCCGTGTTTGCTTTGCTTATCAGTCTTCATCCTGTTTAGGTTAATTCTCTTTCATCCAATCAGAATCAAGTCCATGTATGCCTGCTAGTCAGCATGGAGACGCCGATCGGCTGCATGTATGCAAAGCGTGTGGCACATGGGAAATCAACAACAATGTGTCTCATCACTGAAAGGCGCCCATGTGACGAGTTTCCGCCATGCAATAACCCGCAGCACCCCTAACAGCAACTGGACCACCACTAGTCTTGCCGTTCGTTCGGTTAGTTATTCAGGGTCTGCGTCATGATACTGCGGTGGACTGCCTTGTAAGGGCACAGCCTGGAACTCGATCTCCGAGCCCCCGGAAAGCCGGGACCGTCCGGACCGTCCCGCAGGAAAGCTAGATGTTACTAGATCTTGCAACTTCTGGAACTGTCGACAAGAACTTTCGTGCAGATCTCATCGCAAATCAGAGATGCTTCCTTTCCAGGCAGGTGCGTCAGTGACCCGAAAATCTTGGCGGCATTCCCCCTGGATTGGAACAGTTACACACCCTTTCATGTTCGAAGCATCTTGGAAAGCTGCAGTGCTGCCTGCGCTATTTGCCGCACCGGCGGGAAATTGAAATCCGTGTAGTACCTGTACAGCTGTCAGAGATGAGGAACTTCGACATGCACCGGGCTCACAGAGCACTGAGTGACCAGGATGAACAGAAAGGCAGTGCCAAGGCCGACGAGACCACAGACCTGAGCGGAAAGCCTCTGGGAACTCCAAGTTGGAGACTGCTGAGTCTCTCGCGGAGAAATGCATCCAAGCTTTGGGGTGCTCCTCCGTGTACAGAAGAAGCCTGGTCAAAAAATACAGTCTGCAACCAATGACAAAAAATGGCAAAAGCTCTATGGCCTGCAGAGCACGACGATACCTACGGCGGCGAGGCCAACTGAAACCTTTCTCAGCTCCAACAAGCATTGTCATGGGCACAGGGCACGCGGCGGCACTGCCGGCCTTGTAGCCACTCTTTAAGACTTCCATCGGATCTATGCCTTTGCTGCTCTTTGGTGCCTCAGGCGACAAATGGTCCCTTGCAGCTCTTAATGAAAGGCTTGGGATGGCTGGGGTCCGGGTGCTTGGCCTCGGTCATCATAATACCGATGCCGCTCACGATCAAATCCTGCTTTCAGAAACGCCACCATGCACGCAGGCACATCCTCCGCTCGGTTACGGCACTATGGCTCGTGTCCATCGCATGGATTGCAAGAGGAAACAAGACGTAGCCACCTCGACGAGCGATGCGAACAAGCGAGCATTGAACCATAGCTCTCGGCCCGTGGCTTCTCGCATCAGCTGGCAGCTGCTGCGAAAGAGTGCCGCCTGCTCAACTGATGCTCTAGATCCCACAAGCGGCCGAAGGACCACATCCACTGGTGCTGGGCCTAAAATCATTGCGGCAAGAATCTCACCGGCAATCGACTCAAACAGATCTGCGCCGCCTGACATTCACGAATGCACCTGTCAGTTGCATGGTGAAGCCAGAATCGTGCCGGATGGACGCCCGGCACAGTCACCCACATTGTCTCCGACCAAATCAGCAATGACGGCGGGATTTCGTGGATCGTCCTGACCGCAGCGGCACACCAGCATGCAGCACCAGCACACTAGTACACCTTCACTACAAAGAAGGCAGCAAGGCCCGCAGCAGCAGCGGCAGTGGCAGCAGGCGCCCGTGGCCTCAGGGATGTCCGCCTCCACTTTGCCCACCATGTCGGCGCCCACATCTGCGGCCTAGCCGCAGGGCGGCTTAGAGTAAATGGCTTGCACAGGTCTGTGCACCTTCGTGTAGATGCCACCGCCAAGCCTTTTCGACAAGCGGGTCAAAGTTGAATCTTCTCAGGAGAGCTCTAAGGCTAGTTGCCCAGCCACTCATCGCGGAGCACTGTAGCTTGGGACCCGACTGGGCAAAAAGAGCAACCTCGGACTGTCACTCAATCCGCATGGACAAGCCTAACGGCCTAACCCCGGGCCCCCCAACTACGATTAAAACGATTAAAACTTAAAACCCTGCAACTCAGCTGCCCCGTCTCAGCATCTAACCTGTAGAGAAACTTGGCGGAGCTGTTGCTTCTGGAAGAATCACAGCCACTCCATTCTGATTTCTGGAAGTTTGAAGCACTTTGACAAAATAAGCCGCATCTATCAAAGAGGAAACTCCGATATAGCACACTACAGGAACAAACAAGCGGGATGGAGAGAGTCCCCCCCTCCAATGACACTGGGACTGTGAGTTCCCAATATCTCGCAGTGCGCGCGTACTTCCCATCTGTGCACTCCATCGCGAACTTTCTGCATGAATGGCATTTCGGCTCTCGGGATGAAACGATACTTGCTACGTGCTTAGACGTTCTGTAGCTCCGTACTGGACAAACGTGCTGAGAAACTTATGGATTTGCTGTCACGGGAGGCAGCCTGTCGGAAGCCCTGTTCTCAGTCTGTGTCAAGACTCTGCACGAGCGAAAGTGTGCACGCCCAGTTGTCTCAATACCCTAATCTAAACAGTCCGAGTAACGAAGGAGGCTCCAAAGCCATAGCCCACTAAAAGGAACGGCAACTGGTGCAAAGCTGCAGGCACCTTCAGTCTGACAATCCACGATGCGTGCTGTAGTTGCTGCGTGGTGCGCGGCGCACCACCAGCCGCACTCCGAACAAGAGAGCGATGATGCCCAACAGCACCTCGGCAACACGACACGTCTCCATAGGTCTCCAAAATCTCCCGCATGTCCATGCGTTTCAGCCGCTTAGCAGCATGCCATCGAAACCACTAGAACTCCACTAAACGCGCCAGCGCGAAGTCCCACAGCGATCGCCTGCGCAGGCGACCCTCTTGCTTTGGACTATATTCACTATATGGGCGCTGTTCAGTATTATGGTTCAGGAATTGACCCTGTAGTTGTGCGATGCCTCGTTCGGAAAAGAAAAACGATGGCCTCTTGAAACGGCCTGTGGAAGGCTCGATGAAGGCTGGTTTTGAATTCAACTTTGGAAGGGTCACTGGGAAGGTCCTAACTTTGGAAGGGTCGACTCCCCAAAAGCGCACAGCTTAATTTGTTTATAGGTTTATACCGTTGTCGCAGGGCTTATCATGACCTTCTCAAAGAGCTGTGGGTGAAAGAAAGGTTCAGGAAGTCGCACTTGATTCATGGTTGAATCTCACACCCCTGCATCTTCAACTGCTGCTGAGGATGGGCTAAGCATCACAAACGAGGTTTCTACAAGGACCGAGCTAGCACGCAGCTGGCACGGATTTCCCATAATACTGCACACTTGTTGGGTTGCGACGAAATTGATAATGCTGCCTTTGCTTGTCGTTAGACAGAGGTTTTGGAACTTACGCAGACGCACACACCTGAGGCGAAACGAATGCACGAAAGACGTCCTGCGACCTAGCATGGCCAGCAACCAACAATCACGATGCCAACCCTGTGCAGTTGTCCGTGCACAGGCACGGACAACCCGTGCAGATAAAAGACGCTGTATGACTGTACGAGGGGGCCAGGCGACAAAATCGGACAAAGTTGGGCCTCCGTTGGTGACAAAATTGCGAAGGGGGGGGGCCGGCGACAAAGCGATAAAGTTGGGCCCCTGTTGGTGACAAAGCCCAGGCTTGGCCAGCGACATAACTTGACAAAATTGGGCCCTCGCTGGTTGGCAAGCGAGGTGACAAAATCTAACAAAGTTGGGTCGCCGGTGGCGACACAATCCAAGGGTCCCGGCCGACAAAATTTGACAAAGGTTGGTCACAAAATCCAAGGGGCCAAGCGCAGCCGTCCACGGAAAGAAACTTCTTCAAGCAATCCACAACTTCGACATGCTTCAAGTTTATCGTGTAAAGAAATCCTTCACAAAAACAGTTTTATGTACAGTGTACAGCACCTTGTCACGCAAGTACTAGTTACTCGTGGTTACTAGCGCCCAGAGACGAAGGCGCCGCCCGAGTCGACGGAGAAAAACCCAAAGAGGCGTCTGTTTCTGTACTTCGCAGATAGGCCCAGGCGCATGCGGAGGCAATCCGCGGCCCGCCGCTGCCCTCTCATCTCTGCTCTGCTCTGCTCTCCGCTCCGCTCCGTTCGCTCCGTTCGCTCCGCTCGCTCTCTGCCTCCTGGAAGGAGCGGCAAGCCGCCGAGGCCACGCGGACGTTGGAACGCACGGCCACCCACATCCCAACGTAGCCGGCGACGCCTCGAGGCTCTGCTGCTCTGCTGTACGCTGCGTCACGCCGCCACGCTGCGCTCTTGCCGACTCTGCGTTGCACCATGCCTGAGAGAATGCAGCCCGTCGCAAAGGACACGGCGACACAGAAAGCCAATCTCCAAGAAGCCACCTGGTCGATCACGAGACGAAACAGCGCATCGCGTTTACATGCCTTCTCTGACTTTTGGTGTGGGAGCCGTGCGTGCCTGTGGTAAGTTCTTGGGAGGCTCCCTGACGAGATACATCAGGAAGATGCCCACCAGCACCTGCAACGAGAGGTCGGTGGTGAGCCTTCCCGTGCTTCCCAGCTGAGGGTGGCACCACAACTGCCAGCTTGAAGATGCTCGCATATCTGAGATGACAACCGAAGGCTGCATTCTCGAATTGGTGTTTCATGTTGGGGAAGTACAGCGTCGGGTACCCATCAGTTTCTCGTGAGCTTGCCTTTCTGCCTCTTCCTGTGCTTAGGGCCAGTCTGTGTGGAGAGAAACCCGGCAGCTCCTTCCCGGATGGCCTCAGCGAGAGGAAAGTCTGCTAGGCCTAGCCAGCATTGCAAGACTCGGCCTAAGCTGCAAGCATCAGAGACTTGCCTCATCTTCTCGTCACCCTCGTCCTCTAAAACAACGTGCCCAGACATGACTCCATGGCGATGCGCGCGATGCGCGGCGTCCTTGCCCAGGACCCAGGCTGCCAGCCAGGAGGCAAAGGCCAAGCCGCCTGCTGCAACCAAAGCCACCACGTACCTGGCACAGGGAGAAGCAGAGCAGACACGGCAGACACTGCACTTTCCAGGGGGCACAGCATTGAAGGTAACGGAGCGGTGACCGTGGGAGGGTTGCGCGACTGCAGGATTTCCGTGGCCTTGTTGCGAACGCGAGCAGAGCAGCAGCGCTTACATCGGATGGTGAGTCCTCCATCAGTCCTTCCGATGCGCGGTCCTCAGGGAAAAAATCTCAACAGGATGAACTAGGACCTATGGGACCTAGGCCCATAGGATGAAGGACAGAGCGCCTCCACCCGGTGTGTGATGTGGCCTGCTGGCGACGGACTTCCTGTAGGGCTCCCAGGGCTCCAAAAGCGCTGGAGTCCCAAGTCCCAAGTCCGACCCAACTGGAATAATCCCAGCAGTTGCCACCTTAGCCTTGGCTACTTTAGCTCGCTCACGGCTTCGGGAAGCCAACACAAGAGTATCCCCAAGCTCCCGAAGCAGCCCTTCCACACCTCCACCTCCAAGCAGAAAGAAGAGAACGATGAAGCCGAAGCAGACGGCCTCGCAACACCAAGGCTGAAATCCACACCACCTACCGCCCAGACCCTTGAGGCCCTTGACTGCAATGATTCGAAGTTGCCCATAGATCGTCGAATTTCGAAACGACCTGCTTAAGAATTCATCTTGCAACCTCACGCTGCTGATAATGGCTGCGCCACGCCTGTACCACATGTCTGCCGTCTTGAACACGTCCTGAAATTTTTGAACATCTTTCAATACACTTTGCAGGTACCCGTGCGGCGGTCCGGGGCCATGCTGGCCATGTTGGCAGCTTGCTGATTTGTTGTCGGCCTCTCGAAGTGAAACAAAGAAACCAGTGATTGCTTTAAGGGCTGAAGCAACGCTTAAGATGCTTGGGTCTGCGCAACATCTCTATCACCTCGGCTTGGGATCTCAGGAGTCATCGCGTCGCTGTCCTTGCCTCACTGAGCTCCGAGATGCCCACGGTTGCCAAACTGGCTAGGGATCGTGAAAGCTGTGTTGTCGGATGTTTCTAATCTGTACCTGTGAGTGATACCGTGTGGTGTTGTGTGCGTATTCGGGGCTGTTAGCCCGTGAGAAGAACTTGAATGGAGGTTGTGCCCGTACGATGATTATGCCGCATGCCTGTCAGGTCACAGATTCAAAACCTACGCAGCTACACCTGTGAACCTGGCACTGGCTGGGCTGGACTTTACGTGGCTAGGTGACCTGCATATGAGCGAACAGCTGCGAGTCAACAGCTGAAAACGAGCACAAAACACACGTTCAGTGACTGTCATGCTTCGGCCGCCCCTTGTGGCAATTCTGCAGCATTCGTCGTGCATATCCGTCCAGCATGTGTTGAAAGGTTGCAACTTCCTTCCAGTTGGAGTGCCACCGTGGCTCTGGCATCTTTGCATTTCCTCAAACGACGCATGCCGAGGCTCAGTGGGCGAAGCCTTCCACCCTCGACTCTAGCCCTATCTGATCCTAAGTGCCTAACCATGCCGTAAAGGAAGCCTTGCCAGAATCGTTCGTTACAACCCATCGCCATTTTCCTTGCTCGAAGCAACTGTCGCGAGACTCCTCAGTACCGCTTTGCAGGACTGAGCATGTCATGTACAAGCAAACCGGATAAGCCGCTACACTAGACTGGACATCTTCACAGTCGCACCAATCGTGTAACGATGTCGGCTCATGTTGGATTGGCAACTTGTTCCTTGCAGAGCACAAGGAGGGTTGGCTCCCTCCCAACTGCCGCCATTACGTAGCTAGGTTGAAGAAGTGGCCCAAAAAAGATTTTAGTCGTGCTATTGCACGACACTTGTCTCCGTCGGCATACTTGGTGTCACACTTGCATGCTTTGGATCAGATTGGTACCGCGTAGTTACCTTTCCTCACTGGTCAAGCTCTTCCCCCGAAGCTCGACGGATGATCCACTTCAATCAGAGCAGTCTTGAAGTTTACCAAAAAATTCTGTGCATCTGTGCGGGCCTGTCTTTGCAGCCCTCAGTCATGCAGAGTATTCATGGATCCTACTCACATTTTGGCACCAGCAGCGACCATCGATCTTGATGGGACTGGATGCATGCAGCGAGTGCTTTCAGCCTCGGGTACCCAGCAGGACGTTGTCGGGGCTGTGCTGAACTCAAGTTGTGCAGTTGTGCCAGGCAGCGTTTGATGTGGTGCAAAGTCTTCAAGCCTGGCGCCGGGTCAAAAGAACTGTCGAAGCTTCTTGATACGATGCAGCACAAGGGGCAGATGATTTGAGCGATTCTGAAGACCAGGAACCATCCGAGAAGGACGCCTCATGCACGCACAACCGATAGCACGTTCAACGGTCAAAAAGTGCGTGCGCGGAGGTGGCGACCTAGAGATCTGCCGATGTGGCTCTCGAAGCCGAAAAGGATCTCCTAGCAATTGTGCGCCCTGTGGGGTCCGTAACAGCTTCGACTGTCTCAGGCTCCAGCCACGACTTTCAGCTCATCACCTGAAGCTTCACGTCAACAGCATCAGAAATCATGAACTTCTGTGCAAAGGCGCAAGAATGCACGGCACAGACTCGGAAACATGAGAAGCAAAAAAGGACTGGAATCGGATTCCGCTGACGGCGTAGGAACCCGTGCGACAGCACAGAGGCGAAGTGGAATTCCATGCACTACGATTTTTTACAGAGGAAGCTTGCGAAGTAGCGAAATAGCCCACAACCCGTTCTGGGAGCAACGGCTGTCGGCTCTCTCTTGGATGGCGAGCACCATCTCCTCCATAGCATGGGCCACGGGAGAGAGCTCCAACGCCCAGGCCTCGGAGCCAGGACGTGACATGCCGTGAACCGCAGGAGCATGCAGGAGCATTTCCTTACCGGAGGTACCTTCCTAGGTGATTCTAGCTTCTAGCTTGTTTCGGCTTGACCCCGGAAGTTTGCTGGAGCGTGTTTCCAAGTGAGTCACCATGTCGAAACCTCGCATCTTGAACTCGTCGTGGTGGCAGATGCAGTATCTGGCCATTGTGGACCGCTTCAAGGCGCAAGCAAGCCGCAAAGAGGCGGTCCACAGCTGTAGCAGGTTTTTCGGAACCACCATAACGAAGCACCCCCTCAGCACGGTCGAATCCTCCAAACGATTTTGCATCCCGTCCAGACCGTTCAGCTGGCGTATAGGGTGGCTGTCGTTGCTCTCGTCCTGCCGCCAGTCTTGCTCGTGGTTCGGTCGGATGCTTTCGCGGGCGGAGGCGGGGCAGGGCGGGCCGGGTGACGGGCATGCGGGCGTGCAGGTCGGCGCGCGGGCGGGCGGGAAGTGCTGTGTGATTCTCGATTGATGTTCCTGCATGTGTTTTTTGCTGTCATTCTGCCGAAGCGCCCACTGACTTGCTCGCTTGCTGGTGCCTCTTCTGTGGAGCTCAGCAACCAAAAAAAACATGCCTGTGCGCATCGAACAACAACCATAGAAACAAGAACGTGAATGCAAACTAGTCACAAGTATCTAAGAAGAACAACAGGCCCAAATGTGAGAATACGCCGAATCGAGACGAGGCCCGAGGCCCAGACCATGAACTCCGGCACCGACTTGCGCGAGACCGTGAAGCCGTTGAAGAGCATGGCCATCCTTAAGCGGGCACAGAAAGCGCAAAAAAAAACAGAAATGAGCAGCGGCCCACGCGTATCACCACACCCCGCGGCTCGCGAATTGCAGGAATTTCAGCCGTCGGTGGGGCAAAACGCCGCAGTTCGGGCAGCGGCAACGCAGTGCAGATCTTGCAGCTGAAACTTTGTGCACGCGGCGGGTGGTGAAAATCTGCCGAGCACGGTGCAGCAGCTCAGCTACGATTGATAGGAGAGACGACCACGGCCGAGCCAGTGCCCATCATGAACAAGACTCCAGAAACCCAGGCCTATCCTCCTGTTCATGTTCGCACGCTGGGTGGTTTCAGTCGCTTTTCTCAATCGTCTCAACCACTCATGCTGAGCACAGCCCTTGAATCTCTTGGTTCCACATGCTTCTACGTCCTCGAGTTTCGCCAGTCAAAAAAGTCAACATGCTTGGGCCCCGGCGTCAGGAATGGTGCCAGCAGAATCTGTGCAGAACTGGAGTCTTTGGCCGCTGCAGCCACCATGAGGTACAGGCTGTCCTGTATGGAAGCCGAAGCCCGTACTGCGGGCAAAGACTTTGCGGTTGCTGCATGAAGGAATCGTCTCACCGCATCACAGTGTCCATACTCACGTAGATGATGCTATTCCACAAAAGAACCTGGGCTTGAGATGTGACTCGAGGTTGTAGAAGTCTTCGCTGCAACAAAGTGGCAATTGGGAACACGGTCCATTCCAGCTCGCTCCTGAGACTCGGAAAAGCCTCACTTTTTTCGCTTTGTCACAGCTCTGAGCTCCGTGCAAGGCGAAGACCAGTGTCACGAAAAGCGCATTGCAAACGAGCGATAGGAGAAGGTTGAGGCTGGTAAAGGCAATAATGTATGCCCAGTCCTGAGCACATCTGAGCACTTACTGTCTCTTTGCATTCAGCTTCCGACAGCCGAGCCAAGAACACTGTACAGCACCTCGGAAACCTCCAGCTTCATGACCGTGCGCTCTGCGATCGCCTTCGGCATGACCTACAAGTAGCAAGCAGCAGAGCTGCAGCTCAAGGCTCATGATGGTGTGGCGTGGCATCAAGACAGCAAAGCATAACTTTTGTCATGCACGAGTCAGGCAGCAAATACCCGTGGCCCACTTTGGGAAGAAAATGCTCTCTCAGCCCATGGCACGCACAACTGCCGTCTGTACAGGTATACCACGCATCGGTGGCATGCTGTGTGAAGACTGAAGAATGGCCTCGGCGCGGAGTCTGCAGCCAGAATAGTCAAGGCCTTCTCACGTAGTTGAGGCCGGAGTTTCCATCCTTGAGACATGGGCACGGGCTTCCCTCTAAGAAACTGCCGAAAGTGATGGCCCAGCCCACGGGCTGCTTCTGTGCTAAGGCACCTCAAGATCAGATCAAGACCGTGAAGCGAAGAGTTCAACGCGTTCCGATCGATCCGGCCATATCGTGAAACTGCAGGCTGCTTCCAGTCATCGGCATCGTCAGATTGGTTCGTGGATAGCTTGTTCGTCAAGTCAAAGAAGCTTCTCAGCTTCCATGTTGGAAAGATCACCGGGGGCCTCAGGACTCTGGCCCACCTCTGTTCGAGGGGAGGAGACACGAGACAACTTCACGACAGATCCAGGAAGTCCGAAACCGATTCTTTTGTCTTCTCGACTGGTTTTCGGTGGTGTCTTGACACCTCATGCCTCTTGGCTGCGCCTTGGCCGGAACATTCAACACTTTCGTTGGACAAGTCTTCTCTTCTTCTCCAGTTGCGTGTCTTCGCCCGCCTCCGCAATGAACGACCTACTCAGAGCCTGCGGAATCGGATTGCCTCTTCCATAGCTGCTACGGCCGCTCCGTCTGATCTCATATTGCATGCAGGGATGCAGCAACTCAACCAATGCTCAACGCCAGCCGGAAATCGCAAAGAGTGCGTTCGTCACATCAAACGAGGCAAGGGGTCCTTGATGCCGGAGAGGGCGCATGTCATTACCAACATGAAGTAGAATCCGACCTGAAACACAAACTGTCCCAGGCTGAGCACCGCCTTCGATGCGCAGCTGCCCAGCCTGGTGATATCCAGCATCTTCTCCCTTTCCAATGCCAATGTACGCTGCACCTTGCTTCGGCTCGATCCGTATCCACGTCACAGAGCGTGGTCCTCAAACCGAGCTCCGCACCTACAACCAAAGCCTGCGCTATGGCCACCAAAATCTCGGTAAGCACTCCCTGCCTTGGGAGCCCGCGCAAATTCCGGAGAGTGCGCGTGAAATCAATCCCGGTGAGGAGCGGGCTGATCCCGAAGGAGGAGGCGTACTTGCCTACAAAAGACTTTCTGCAGTTGCTTCCGGAACCTCGCAGCCGGAAAGGCACACACAAGGACATAAAGCGATCGAGTGATCTTTTATTGCCACTATGACGATGAGACAAAGCGAGCAGCCGTGGCGTTGGGTTGTCTGGAAGACATGCGTGTCTTGCTGTCTCACTCACTCTGCTTACACCCGTCATCCCCACGAGTCCTCTCTTCCTTCCCGGTGCCCTGTAAGGCCTGACGCCGTAGATGCTGTGAGACCTCAATGGTGGCATGTCTCCAAACTGCGACCTGGCGAGCAGAATCGATATGTCCTGCAAGCACTGGTGCAAGTATCTTCGTTGAAAGTAGAAGCCGGTTCGGCAGTCGCCGGTGTCTGGCCTGGCGACTGGCGCAAGGCGAAGCATGGCCCAGGCGGTGCCGTCTGGCCCTAGGCCCTAGGCCTCCAAGAGCTCCTCCGCCGTCAACGCGGCCTTACAGAGCTCCCGGTCCACCTTTAATTGCGCAGCGATCGTCTCAGGGGACAATTCATCGTTCCGCATCCTTTTCGCCTTCCTTCTTAGGGCTTCCACGACTTCATCGACGGAGGCCTTGCCCTTGCGACTGCTCTGATAAAACTCCCGGAAGTGCTCCACCTGCCGGCGCTCGGGAGCGCTCGGGCCCTCGCGCATCGCGGCTGCACGCATGGCACATGGCGCCTGGGAGTCCAGCGTCCCGGGCGTCACCAAGTCCAGGAAGTAGTCCTTCACAGAGCTCGGACATGATCCAGAAGCGAAAGGCGGAAGGAACGCGCTCCGTCGGAGAAACCAGGTCCGGGACCTGCCGTGCGGCGCTAATTTCGCTCCACCCTTCTTGCCCTCCTTCCGCCGCTCGCGCTTTCGCTTCCGTGAGGCCGAGTTGCAGGAAAGCCCGCGTCGCTCCAATATCGCCGCGCCTGTGCGCACTCCCCACTCTCCCCATCTGTGTCGTCGGTTCGAGCCTCGGTCATCTTGCCGTTGTAGACGACGTCCCCACTCGTCAGGAGCAGAAGATGATCGAAGAGGACAGCAACCTTACCACACAAGCACTTCCAGGGCTCCTCTTCTCATCTTCCAGTCCCACCTCTTGCCGCGGCTGGTGGATTGCAACTACTATGCTCACACCGTACTTTTTGCACAGGAGACGCATGTACCTGTCCCCGGATTCACGCTCGCACTCGTGATACTGCAACATTGCTGTATGATGCCGCCTCACGCACTGCTCGGCATCCGTGGCGCTCAAGCCTAGGACTAGGAGCAGCACGTCAGGCAAGCCCAGTTTTTGTTCAGACATGCATCTCCGTTCCGCTCTCTCCGAGAGGCAGCCCCAGCCCGGGCTAGGAGTTGGGCCAGACGTCGGCTCATCGCAGAAGAAGATTTGTGCCTCGCAGAGGGCCATGCTGTGGCGAGGCCGAGAATGGCAAAGACCGAAAGCGACGTGTTGAGCGTCTGGACGCCGGTCGCCAGGCCGCAAGCCAGCGACACGCGGCGCCTGCTGGCAGCACTGAAACAGACTCAAACAGTTTGCGGTGACCAGGCCTCTGCCCACCAGAGATGCCCCGCACGACATCACTCCCGATCAAGGAGTTCTGCACCTCACAGGGGCTGCTCTGGTAGTGCTTCCTGCATCTTTCCTCTTTCCTGTTGCCTGTTTGCAGATCACGCGCTTCACAGTTGGCGTAGATGAAAAAGGGAGTGTGCACACAGGCAGTGGCAGGATAACTTGATTCTCCTTCGTTGCCGGGCATTGCCGGGCTACACCCAGCTCCGCATGAATTCGTCAGCGCAGCGGAACGGATGCTTTTGCTTTTTGAAGAGTCTTGTAACAACCAAAACACATCTACCTTCGTGACCAGGTTTCGCGGAACACGAAGCAAAGCTGATTGGATCGCTGCGTACAGCTGATGCCTAAGGCAGGAGTAGCTGTTGAGCCATGTAACTTGGCCCACATTTGCAAGTCAGCAGGCAGCACGATGTGGACAGTGGCATTGAAAGAAACACAAAAGATTGATTGCTCTCCCGGCACTTGCGACTTCAAAGGGAGCCGCGATCCAGACAGCTGTGAGGCTGCACTCCGTTAGGCTTCCCCACGCTGCGCCATTTCCGAGGAGATTTCGCAAAGCCGACAACTGCGTCTAAAGTTCCGGCACTCAAGAAGGACGAAGTTTGACCGGGCCCAAAAAGAGCAGCGCCAAACTCAACATCCCCAACCAGCCCCTGAAATCAGACTGCCTCCTCCAAACCCACAGCTCGGAGTTGAAGCCTTGGTGCTTTGCAGGAACGCGGCCCTGAAAACAGGAAGTTGTAGCTGGGCAACTCGATGGTCTTCGCCCAATCCTCACGGTGGACGGTGGAAGGCACCTGCATCCCGGCACAACCACTGAATCCAGTTTGGCGTCGCGAAAAAGACGTACACGTTGCGCCTCTGTCTTTAGGGCGGTGTGGAACATGACTTGCTCCTTCACCTCACGACTCCCATCGCCGTCTGAGCTATCTGCAAACACGGAGAGGACGAGGCAGCGACCGTGACGGTTGGGAACATCACGTCGTCCTGGCATCCCAAGATGTGCCAAGCTGGGCAAAACACGTTGCAGGCCCATGATTTCGGTTCGGGGGTGTCAATTTCGGGTATGCCAGTTCGGATCGAGCATGGACCATTTCATGCTGCTGGGAACTCAGGTCGAAGTACCACCAACTACTTAAATAGCATTACAACAGCTACTGTACCTGTACAATGCCTGGGTCGCGAGGTTGAGGTTGTGCTGGTTTGTGCACGTTTCATGTTTTCGATGGTTCAAACGTGCACGGCTGCAAAGTCGCAGTTGGCTTCGTGCACACTGCCCGTTCTGCTTTTCAATCTTCCAGAATACATGTACGCTGGGTCCTCGATGCCCTGCATCTCAGACGCATCGTGATAGATCAAAGATCCCGGCAGGGGTCGCAGCACCCGGTCGCAGACACTCCGGGGAGCTCAAAGGCTTTCGCACTCTCAACAGAAAGCAGCTCTCCTATCCGTCGGTGAAGCACAACTTACCGGAAAGGGCTAGCGCAGCAAGGCATTTGGGCTTAACCATAGTCACCGCGCTAATCCTTGATAATCACCGCAGGATTTTTGAAGCCCTTACGTTGTTGCTCTCGCTGCTCGATCCTGATAGTGGCACCATGTCTTCTTGCTCCGTTGCGGTGATCTCCGAAATCAAGGACTCCGCCAATTGCTCGTACTACGACATCTCTTCTGTATGGACTTCGTTGGCCCTGGCTTCGACTTGGCTCTTCACTGCTTCTCGAATTTGGGCTTCAGTGAACCTGGCATCTTCGATCGCCAGGGCAATGGTAGAAGACCGATCAGCAACTCCATCGTCACGACTTAATTCCGGACCGTTTGCTCTTGCTCGTGACATCTTCTGAACTCATTGGCTCAGGCTCTCTTGTTCTCTAAGGCGGAGTCTGTTGACTCTTCGACTGTTGGATCACACAGTTTGCCTTTCGCTCTGGGTTCCTTGATCGGTTTGACAAGCAGGTCTGGAATTTGTAGACGACCTCACCTCGCCGTTAAGGTCGACCGTCTCGGTGGCGTTCTTGGTATGCTAGTATAACCTTCCTCCTCTCATCCCCTTGCAACTGCATCAACGGATAACGCACCTCCATTTCCCTGATCCGTAACTGCCTTCCGGACGGACAACAACTACGATTACGACGACGACTGCTACTACCTCGAAGCTTGTCGTCTTAAACTCCAAACGTGTGGCAGCAGGCATTCCAACGTACATGGAACTCCTCAAAACTCAAAACGACATGTTGGCTGCGAAACCCAGAAGACCAAAATTAAACGGAGCCGTTTGTTGAGAAACTTAATTCCCTAAAAGGGATGTTGGTTGCCAACCCGAGACTTCAAGAGGAGATGTTGCTTCAGAAACCCCAAAGCCTTAAAGGAGATGTTGGTAGACGTTGTTTGAGTTTGTGTCGAACCAAACATTGCAGCTTGCGTAGACGCCCCAAACCTTTAAAGGAGATGGAAACCCCAAACCCAAAAAAACAGAAGGAGATCTTGGTTGAGAAACCCAACACCCTAGAATGGGTTGCGAAACCCAAAAGCTAGACGACGAGGAGACTCGGGACCCGAACTTTTCTCCTGTGGGACATAGCTCGTCAGGCGAGGGAAGAGCTCGTTTCGGGGCAGGCCATTGAGATGAACCTGCGCCACTTCAGCTCGGCTATATCATGTGCCAAGCTTCTTGGTTATGCTCATAGTGTGTCTGAGCGTCGGAGCTTGCCCCGTGTAGGGCGAGGTCTTCTTCCCAGCAAGGATGTCCAGCAGCGTGGTCTTGCCGCTTCCAGAAGGACCTCCACTTGGGCATTGAGCACGAGATATCCCATAGCCTTGCGGAATCTCCCGAGATCTTGGGGTCGAGCCCATGAGCGCGACTAACCTTGGATCGAGATTCCCCACCTTCTGCCTTCCCATCTTCTTAAGCCTCTTCCCTATTCTGAGAAAGACGAAAGGGGCGAGTCTCACTCTCGGCCAGGCCACGTGCCGGGCTCGAAGTGTCCGGAGCATGGGGCCAGAATTCGGCCCCCGCCTGGGCGGTGAAGACGCGGCGGAATCTTGAAACCGGCCTCGGTGTCTTTCCTGGCAGCTCGAAGCTCACGTCCTGCAAAGTTGCTGGGATGGCTTCTCCGCTCCATTGAACTGCTCCCCAAGAGTCCTTGAATGTCAGTGCTGCCTCGAGGCGGGAGAGCGATTGTCGAAGCATCACATGGAGAGGCGATTTAGACTTCGACTCTTCGCTCAGCTGTGCGCGGCTCCGTAGGCGAGTGTGGGATCAAGCTGGACGTCGCCAGACTCACCAGTGACCTCCGCACAATCCCCAATGCTTCTTTGATCGCTTTCTGTCCTTTTAAGGCTCTAAGGGCCAAACGAACTCGAGGTCCTTACAAAGCGATTCCACTGCACTGCCTCAGAGCCCAGGCAGGACTTGAAGCTATGCTCGCAACATTCGAAGCAACACTTCCTCTACAGCCTCGACGGGTGGGAAGGACGGCGATGGGTCCACATTCAGATTCTCGCCTTCTCGGGCTGTGTCACCATGCCCTTACCACTCAAGTCTTCGAGGGTACTTCAAGGTTCGAAAGCCGATCTGCTGTACTGCTTCGCATCTTTCCGTGCTTTCGAGGTAGGCCACTTGCGACAGCACCGCCTCCTTGGGCACATTCGCGCCCATGTATGAAATGGGCAAAGACTCGGGGGCTACGATCAGAAGCGCTTCGCTTCACTCAGGAATTGAGGGGCCTGGTCGTCTGCATCACCCTTTCGTGCCTCACCTGTCCCTACCCAACCGCACTTAGCCACATATTCTCACGACAGAACTGATTGGCATGTTGGTGTATGGCACGGTTGGTGCCAAGCAGGTTCATAACTGATATCATCTTGCCCTGCGCTAGTGCTGCAAATGTCAGCAATCGGCACCGCAGACACGTGGACCAGGTGGACATCCGACTCCAGAAAGCAAGCTGTGCACTGTGCATCCATCCTTCCTCAAAACAGCTCGCAATCTCCGAGGTCAAGTCTGTATCGAGCTCCGTCGGTGCCAGCACCAGCACTGCCTCTGCAAAAGCTGCAAAAATAAAGAAAAAAGGCAAAGCACGGCGCCACGCCGCCAGAGACGTTGCTTTGCCCTCCGAGGCAGGAGCGGGGGCCGAAACGATCCTTTCCAGCTTTCTGTGCCTCGCCCCCCCCCCGCCGCTTTCTGCATCCGTAGCACCCTAGCAGGGCCTTAGCCTAGTGGCCTAGCACCTCGCAAAGTGCCCAAAAGAAAAACTCCGAGGTCCGATCTGCTTCCATAATCTTGGGGCTCTGTATGCCCTCACCTCGACTTCGACTCGACTTTTCTCGCGGACTGCGACTGGGACTGCTACTGGGCTGGGTCCCGTGCACTTCGCCAGGTCGCTTCGCTCCGGGCCCGGCTTCGAGGCGGCTCCGTAGATGCACGGAAGCGAAGCGCCTCTCTCTTCACTGGGGGCCGAAGCGCCCGGTCCCGCGGTCCCGGTCCGATAGGCCGAGGTCCTGGCCCGTGGTGCCAGGCACCGCACTCCTGCGCAGAAGGGCGACAGAAGGGAGGGGGCACTCGCGCCGACTCGCGCCAGTCCTCTCCATTGGCTCCGGCCTTTGTATCAGCGACTTCCGCAAACGAAGCCCAGCCCTCAGCCCACTACCTCTTGCAGGCCTGTCGTGTGGCACTGGCCAACATCCGTAACGACCGTACTCCTGGCAGGCACTCCGATATTGCTTCGATGTTCGATGCCAGTTCTCCTGTCCTCGCTTGGGTCAGGGTCGGTGTCCATAGAAGGGCACTCCAGCACAGCCAAACCTGGGAAGGCTTCGCTTCGCCCCGTGAGTTCAGTTCGCTGAAGCAGGCCCTGTGCCAAGCCTGCTGGCACACCCAAGCAGGTGTGACGAGCTGCGGACCTGTCGAAACTCGACAGACCCTTCCTGTCCTCCCGTCCTGTCTTGGTGGCTCAAAACGCGGACCTGGAGGCAAAGCTGTGCAGCCTAAAGGAAACAGAAGAAACTTGAGCCAGAAAGGTTCCATTGGCACACACGGCACGGCTGATTTCAGTACTCCCGGTACGCATCAGCTAGCAGCCTTCGGTTGAAGCTTGTTTTGAGCTGCAAGCAAGCTCGGCGGTCGTGTCGCAGGAGCAATCTGAAGCAGTCAGGGGGTTTGATGAGCGTTGGCTGCAATTTCCAGTTTCAGGGAGTTCATTGAGTGTCATTTCGGGGTTCAACGCGAATTATCCCCACTCACTGCCGCAGCCAACCAAGTCTGCCTGGCCACCTCCTGTCCAGTCTGCGGCCCAGTTTCCCTCCAAGATGCCGCAACCCGAACATCCGGCTGCACAGCCGGCCCCGCACCCGCAGCCAGTTCCACCACCGTAGCCGACTCCGACGCATCCGCAGCCGCCACAGGCACTGCAGCCACTGACACTGCCACAGCCGGCACAGGCGCATGCACCAGCTCCACACCCCCAGGCTCCAGAGGCAGAGGCAGCAGAGCCCCAGTCCCAGTCGCCCCAGTCGCCCCAGTCGCCCCAGTCGTCGTGTCCCCAAGCTCCGTCCTTGCCTTTGCCCAGCTCGCCGACTTTGCCTTTGCTCAGGGCTCCGCCCTTCCAGTCTCCTTTACCCATTGGCCTCACTGTCAAGCTATGCACCGCACTCACTACGATCAACACCCTAGGAGCCAGGCACAGGAACGGGTGGCCGAGGTGGGATTGGAGGACGCGGCGGCGACACCTCAAGGCAATGCCGCCGTCAAGTCGCTTCGATTGAGGTTGGATTTTTTTTGGCATGGGCCAGAGCACCGGCACCGAGGGCCCCAAAGACACTCCGCCAGCAGGCCTCAGAGGCGCCTGCAAGCGGACACGGCGCCCCCTAAGCCCTGCAAGCCCTGCAAGCCCGCCGGCCCAGCCCTGAGGGAGGCGCCGAAGGGTTGCCGAGGACGAGGCCCCTGAAACGACCGTCAGACTACGCAAAAGAGGCCACTCTTCCGCCCTACTCCTCTGGTTCCAGTGCCCCAGCGCTTGGCATCTGACTGCGAGGGCATCCGTCCTCTCAGCTCGCGCTCGCCATGTGCAAAGTGACATGCGGAGCCTCGAAGCGGAAAAAAAGAGGCCGCAGGCGACTGAAGTAGGAGACCGAGACAGACAGAAGGGGCCGGGGCCGAAATTACAGTTGCCTTGCTCCCATCGTTTGCAGAACCTTTGCGCTAGAATCCAGCAAACCCAGTGCACTTGCAGAGATACGAGAGTCACAGATTCACACGAGTACGAGCACTCTTTGGAGCTTGCGAGGTTTTGTACAAGTGAGCCTTGTCGGGCTTCAGACCTCGGCGGGACATCCGAGAGCTCTCTCAAAAAGAGCCTGGCCTGGCGGCCTGGCCTGGAGGAATCAAACCCAAGACATCGGGTGGGTGCGCACCAGGAGGTATCAGGTCTTCCTGCGCCAACGAGTTTTAGAGTCCTGGAGCTCTGGTGCCACGGCCCGGGCCGGCCTCCTGGCGCCGCCTTTCTTGTTCAGCTTCTTCAGCTGCTTTTCGAGCCTCGACGATGAATCAGCTCAGCAGCTCAGCAGCTTGAGCTTGAAACGATGTCCAACTTATCTCGCCTCTTCAGCCTCTTTCCGGGCTTTGGCCTCTTCTTCCTCACGCTGCCGACGTGTTTCCTTCAAGAACAAGGGCGGAGGATCGATTGGGGCTGCGGAAGAGCGTGGCTTCCCAGATCTCCTGTCAAAGACTTCTACACTCCTCGCGGACCTAAATGACCCGAGAAGCAAGAGCTTTTCCATACGAAATCTCTGGAAAGCAAGACGGCGAGCACAAATTGTGCGAAGCCACTGCCCTCGCATTGTCCGCAGGCAGTGGGACTTGCAAGGGAGGGAGGGAGGGAGGGAGCGAGGGAGGGAGGGAGGGGTCCCAGCTGCAAGACGGCAGGGATGGCCGGTGCCCGACCGCGGGTCGACGGTTCATGTCCGCAAGACAGCAAGCGCATTCCAATCATGCCTCGATGACATCTGTACCGTTGAAGACTCCGCTTTCTGCAACTGTCAACTTAGCAAGTCCTGAATACGCGGTTATTGGACATATGTCCTGTAGCTCAATAGCTGTGCCCGCCCCTCACCGGGCCAAAGCGATTGTCGATTGACACGAAGCATTCGGGGACTGACTTCAAGACCTCACTTCTGAAGTAGTAGCTTAGTCTTGGTTGTACTGCTGCTGCTGCAGGGCTCGTTTCATTCTTTCACTTGGTCAGCTTCTGTCCAAACATTGAAAACCCTCAGAAACGGAGGGAAGAACACAGCTCGACTTGAGCGTACCTGAACACAAACCCAGCTGAGCACACAGTCTCACAAAACGTATAGAAACAATTTCGAATCCTTTACCCTGCTCAAACACCCCGCTTGTCCCCTGGCCTCTTCGGCTTCCCTGCGTCTTTTCTCCTCCTCTCTTGCGATTCTTTCCTCAAGAGTCATCTGGGAAGTGTGGGGTGGCAGTAGTGAGGTCGTCCGAAAGCCTTTTTGAAAATTGCGGAATCCCTGTTCCAGTGTGCGGAAGTACAGGCCTGCTCGTCTTTCTCCATCTGCTCACGCTTCTCCTCAGAACGAACACTAAGCACACACACTCCAGAAATGTGGGCTTCGCAAGCCCGTTTGTGTCCTCCTCCGCAAGCGTCTCTTTCCATTGCTCTAACTCCTCCACCGTGATCTGCTCAGCCTTTCACGGTGCCCGGAGACTGTCAAGAGTGTCGTTACATAAACGGGCAGGGCACAGCGCGCGAAAATCCACGAAGGATCACCCGCGGCCTCGCCATCGCTCTCCTCACTGAGCTCCTCCTGCCTTCCACAGTTTGGATGGAACGGAACAGGGCCTAGCGGCCTATCAAAACAAGAGCGACTTGTTGGTCTGAGTCGCCACTTGCGCTTCTTGGTCGATGCGGTACTCTTCCTGGCCGGCACGGCCCGCACGGCCCAACGGCCCAACAGGAGGCATTTAAGCAAAGCACAAAGCGCAGCAAAGCGCAGCAGAGCGCAGCAGAGCGCAGCAAAGCGCAGCAAAGCGGGCAGGCACGGCTTGGAAGCGACGGCGCTTGGCTTGGAGGCTGCGTCCCCTTTGGGTTTACGGCCCAGCCTAGAAAGAGAACGGAGGACAAGGGTAAGAAGCAAAGGCCAAGACTAAAAGGCCGAGGAGCATGGCACATGGCCCATGCGCGCGGCTTGCACGGGGGCATTTACAGCTGGCTCGTTGAGAGGCTCTCTTGAGAGGACTCTCTGAGATGGCGGCGGAAGTAAAACTTGGGACTTGCGACGCGAAGGTGGCAGCTTCACCAAAGGTCAATGCCAATGCATGCAGCGACTCATCCGAATGCAGGTTAGTCATCAAACGAATTGTGCATCCAGCTTCCTATACAAGTCAGGGGGTGCGGGTGCCACATGCTGCAGTGTTGGACTGAAGCACATGCAGCCTGGCATCCAGCTGGGCATCCAGCTCCCGCTCCAATTCCTCACAGCTCTGCCGGAAGCCGAAGCCGTCGAGTCCACCATGCTCTGCCGCGAGGGCGAGGAAGAGGAAGGCGGGGCCGAAGCAGGAGCGCCCACGCAGCCTGGACTCCGAGCTTTCGGAGGCTTCCGCTTCCGCCCAGAAGTCCTCCTCCGCTTGCTCCAAGCGCTCCAAGAGCCTCGGCCCAAGGCCTCAGCTTCACGCGACACGATACGCGCTCGAGCTGAGCCCTCGCTGCGGCAGAGGCTGCGACAAGCTCTCGCCTTCGCCTCTCCAAGAAGCCCCTGCTGCAAGCACAATACCGACTCGCAGATTGCTGATCATACGCCTTGAGCTTCTTTATGCTGCCAGGTGCGAATGAAACGCAGGTGCTACCAGAACCCAGCATGCTGCCACGAATGTGTTGTACAACACTGGCTACAGGGCACAACGATTCGAGGCTCCAAAAAGAGGCACTTGCCAACAAGGTCAAAGAGTCTCGGCACCCTCTCCACCAGACTTTCCTGTCCACCCTCACAGGCATTTCACAATGGTGGGGATACAGCTGCGACCAACACAAAAACACAAAATGTAGCGTTCTTCTGGCCACAGCGCTCATGAGTACCAGCCCTGGAACTGAAGGTTGGGCCGAGTCAAAGTGTGGAGAGGGTGCCTAGATCTGCGAAGTAGAAAGGCTGGCACCATCGTTTTGGCATGCCTGAGCCCGCACGCTGGGTTCACGGGCGCCTCCAGCGCTCGCAAGCGATGGGCGCAGAGCTCTTTGAGCACCGGCAGCAGACGCTCCGATTCCCAGAAAAGCGCGCCTCAAGAAGCTCCAAGAAGCCAGAGTTTCAGAGCGGTTCTCTGTTCTCTGCGCCTTGGTCTCGGTCCAGCACAGCCGGGAGCAGATCTCCCCGAAGGGCCTTCTGATGCTCTCGCTGCAGCTCGGCCAAATCCTCCCTCACAAACTGCTCGTCTGCATAGCCTGGCACTACCCGGACCCGCATCAGCACCGTCCACACACCGGAGAACTCCAACTGAGGAGCTCTGTACAGCAGTTTCAAAGTCGTCAGCGAGCCAGTTGCCTGCCATACTGGCATGTCGGCGGGTGCAGGTACAGCAGTTTCATTGCTATGACGGCCTCCTAAACCCTTTGCTGCCCGCTCGGTGACAGATCGGAGGCTGTGCTGAAGAAGCAATGGCTGATCCAGCACCTACAGGGTGCTTTCTGTAAATCGTCTACTGCACTGTCTACATTTACACGAACTTGCTTGCAGGCAACCATAGTAATCAGAGTATGAGCAGCCAAGGTACTTGCGAAAGGTCCGAACCCTCGTCTGAATTCCCTTGGCTGGCAGGCCCTTCCGTCTCGTGCACGGTTGCAGCCGCTTCGGCATAAACCTGAAGTTCCGTCATTCCGGCATCCGACCGTTACCAAACGGCTGGGTTCGGGGCCGCTTTGCACTCCTCACGTAGATCCCGCAAAGCCTTCAAGATTTCGGCCCGGTTGGCATGCGGAGACCTACAAACAGACGCGAACTGAAGACCGCGTACCCGCAGTACCCGCAAGCCCCAGAACCTCAGCCAGATCCAGGCCACCACAGCAGTGCCTGGAAGTATCTGAGTGCTGAGATGGACTATAGCATGCGAAATTCGCAGGGAGATCGGTTTGCTTCGGCTCTTGACTGCTCATGGCTCATGACGGGACTCTACGACCGGGAGGTAAAGCAACGCAGACATGAATTGGCACAGCTTACGGAGTAGAACAAAATCCAAAGTGGCACCAACGTGCCGCCCTTGTCTACATCTGTGGTGCTGCGGGATGTCCAGCCTGCTGCTGTCAAACATGCCACAGAAGCGGCCCACGATGACGAAGGCATGGAGTATGTTCAAGACGGCTCCACAGCGCCATGCCCGTCGTGCATTCTCGATAATCTGCCGGACGGCTGTCCAAGGACACAAATTGCTTTTGAAGTGCGGGGATGGCACTGCGTCGACTTCGTTTCATGCGCTGAATTGCAAGCATGTTCTCACAGATCCTACTCCGTCATACTTTATGCTGAAAGCCAGTGGATGACTCAACGCTTCCGTCACATATGGCCAATGAACTGTGCAGGCCACTTCGGCCTTCCCACCTGGCTTGCAAAACCCTCCACGCCTATCTCAAAAGGGCCGGCCTGCATGGCGAGTGCCATGCCTCGTCATCTTTCCGCTTCGCTGGCATTTGCTGGTTTTGGGTGTTCACGTTTGTGCCTGTCTGTCCGCTTCGGGGATGGCATCCGGCCGGAAGAAGGCACATTTCATTTCCTCCGTGTTCGGAGAAGGGAGATTGTTTCAGGGATCGTTGACATTGAAGGTTGTGGCGGTGGTACCACGGCCCCACACAAGTCAAGCGCTGCCCCAGCTATGTGTCGGCCTGAGTTGAATGTTGTCCTTGCTAATCCCAATCTGAGAGACAGTGCCTTCATCAGGACCAAAACGATGCCAAGTGTTCCTGAGCCACTCGATACTTCTCTGCGGTTCACCTTCAATCCAACCCTTGGTAACCTGCATTGTACAGGCGGGAGTTGGCAAGCATGTCCAGTAGTATGTTAGTATGGTCGTCATCAGTAGATATCATGCGATTTTGCCCGGACTTTTTCCCCGCCATGTCCACTCTCGTCATGCTGCGAGATGTGCCTGCACGCAGGTGGGGCCAAGGGCTGTCACACACGCCGGCGTCTTCGCACCTGGCGGTACGAGGGCGTGTTCCAGCCGGGGATGATCACCACGGCGGACACCTGCAAGGTCCAACAGCACTGGGATTCCCGCAAACTACTCATGCTCGAGCGGGGAGGGAGGGCGAGCGAGAGAGAGAGAGAGAGAGAGACAGAGAGAGAGAGAGAGAGAGAGAGAGGAAGCACAGAGCACAGACGAAAATCATGTGTGTGTGTGTGTGTGTGTGTGTGTGCGTGTGCGCTCAAGAACTTAAGACTTAAGGGAAGCAGATCAATACGCAGATAGATGGCTCGGTGCCCACAAACTGGTAGCCAACCATGTGAGTACATGGTTGGATACTCCCACACCCATACACATACATGCAGAGACAGGTTTGTAGGTGTGGAAGACTTGGAATGGATGTTATGTCAGAATCATAATTGTCTGAGAAAAGGTACGCAAACGTGTATTTTGGATATGTGTCTCAAGGCGGCACATCGCTGCAGGACGACACAAAGTTCCCATTCCATGAACTGTATCTTGAGATCTCGTCACATAATACGTCGTGTTAGGTAAACTTACGCGAAGCTATCTACACTGCTTTCTGTTGTTTGTCAGCTGCAAGAACGGACGGGCCATGCTCAGGATGATGAGACTCGGAAAGAAGCCACCCCATCCGTATTCCTGGACCTCGGCTTCTGCGCTTCGAAGGCAAGCAAAGGCTTCCTCGACGCTCCGCTTCTCTGGGGCCCGCGCCAAGAGGGCAAAGGGCAGTCCTCAACAATGAAAAAGAAGAATTCAGCGTCAACAACTGCAGCCTGCAGGCCTGCACACATCGAGCCCAGCTGCGCCGGATAGGCTAACAGACCTTCACTGAACCCGCCGTCTGGGTAAAGCAACGGTGCAAGATTGCTGCCCGGGCCTCCAGCCGTTGCAGCAGCCTTGCGCGGCACCTGCGACCCACTGAAGCGGGATCACACCAAAAGCTAGAGGAGCTGCGCCGACCGTCTCTACTCCAGTCATGGTGATCAGGGTCTGCGGCCCATAGATGGCGAAGCCTCGCATACGCATGCTGTCCTGGAACCAGTGATAACTGATACACTCGTGCAAAGTCTCAGAAACTAGCCGAACGCAGCCATCGCAAGCCATTGGAGGACCTGCGACACTCGCTTTCAGTTGTCACACTTCACAAAAGAATTTATTCTCTGGATATTTCAAGGATGCGGCTGCAAGAGGTGGTACCACCCACAGACAAAAGACCTAGTCAGGCCCATCAGCTCCTCTACTCGCCGTGCAGCCCCAGTCTCAGGTCGGTTCCGCAGCGGCTGCGAAAAGGGAGTATGCAATCATGACCTCGAGCTCAAGGTCACCAGTGCTTGGCAAACAGCTCGGCAGCCCATCTCCCTGACTCGCCACTGGCCGCCATGCTCGACAGAAGAAGTTTGGCCGGGCCTGGGCTCGCAAGCCCGCTGCCCCTCGCTTCGGGTAGCGGCTGATCAGCCAGTCGGAGACCTGCCACAGATCTGAACACAAACGCCCCCCCCTTTCCTCCGCGCCCCCTCTCCTCCCCCCGCCCTCCTGGCCGGAGACGATGCAGCCGAGCAGGCCTCCGGGTCCCACACGGATCCGCGACACTTCCGGCGGACGCTTCGACTCGCCGCGCCGCCTCCGAGTTCGAAGCCGCTGACTCGTGCCGTTGCCTCCGCCAAGCACGTCGCCACGACACTCCCAAGAGCTCTACATCTTTTTGGGGGACCTCCAGGGCTGGAACACCAAACTCATCCATGATGTAGAAATGTGCCTCAGTTGCAACAAACTTTTGACGAAGGCCCGGGATCTCAGCTGCAGTGTTTCGGGTGCTGAGATTGGGACGTGCCTTCTTGCGGGTTGCAGTCTACGCTAAGGGGCAAGGTTTTGGTCTTCTTTGGGTCCGACTTTCACGTACAGTGGCAGCTTTTGGCTTCTGTATTGCCACGTGCTGAAATAAATCGACGACCTCATTCTCGGAAGGACGCAATCAACAGTTAGGAAAGGGATTCTGTGAGTTCTCGCCGGCTTTCCACGTCTCATGTGGCTTGTTCGATCGCTTCAACGGGGTTTCAAAACTGGCACCCGCTATGTTTTGCCTTAGGCCCCGTTCCCATGCCGAAGTTACCTATCACTCCTCCTCTTCCTAGCGGGCCTCCCTCCGCAGAGGAAAAAGGATGCGGGCTACCACACTCCTGAATTCAAGCGGGATTGGGTTTGTTGAAGTTTATATAGACACGCAACGGAACCGCATCCGCTACTGCAGCCGGTTCCGATCCACGTCCGCTAGATTTGTCTAGGACCGTCAATGTTGAGCAATGGCTACAGGCCGATTCGGACTTTTGGTCGGTCTGCTCACCACTCGCTGTGTCCTGTTTCAGGCAGACGACGGCGACATCGTAGACGTTCTTCGGGGTAGACGCTCAGGTGGTTCGTACCGGGCTTTTCACTGCTCTTTTACAGTCTTTTTTTGCAAATACTTTTTCTGCTTCTTGCTCCCGTCGCCCCCTACCATGTTTTCAGGTAACCCTCCAAACACACACTGCAGGTACACAGGCTACCGTTTTGCTCACCTTGCGCGTGAGGCGGCTACCAGCTACAACTATACAAGCTGGTGCACAGAATGCAGTTTGTGACCACTAACCCTGAGCAAACAGAACACCTTTCACTTCATGTACCAACAGCATTGAATGCATGCTTCTTACGCTCACCACTTTGGATTCGTGAATCGCGCTCTCGCCACTGTCCCGTGTCTCTTTGGGGATACGCTCGGGGGAAACTGTGCCCCCACTTTTAATTCGGTCGATATCCCTAAAGTCCTACAAGTAGCAGGGCCAAACGTGGGGTTCTTGGCGTCCCAAGTGCTCAGCAAATTCGTGTGCTCCGATGCAGTGCCGCGGAGTTATTTTCCGGCGCCCATGACCTCTCCCGAAATCGTGCTTCCACCCCCAGTTCGGTACATGTTCCGGGGGTCTCTACGGCTCTGCGCTAGCATAAGAAAATCAAAGGTTTCATGCACATACAGTTCATCCTGGTTTCGCAGCCAATTTTGCTCCGAATTTGTCATCAACGGATGCTTCCGGAGCTGGGACGTGGGCTGCACCCTTAGGCCTGTTTAGGGAGCCCTTCCAACCGAGGGATGGAGTCTCGCTGCCGCTGCCACCGACAACCCCATGCTGAGATCCGCCAAACAAAACAAAACTGCTTGCCAGAACAGGGCACCCAATTTAGCACACCTTGCCGGATGAAGTAGATGAAGAAGTGCATGGCCTGAGGCGATCTGCCTGTTTCTGCTAGCGACGGTGCAGAGGCCAGGGAGCAGGCTGCCATGCACCACAGAAATCTGTTTTGAAGAAGCGATGCCCAGACCTCTTCGAGCAGAGGTTACGCAGTGATGTCCTCTTTTTTGAGCCCTTGCCTTCTCGCTGGAGTCCTCCACCGTTGCAGGCTCAGCGCTTGAACTAGGCGCCTGTGAACCGTTTCTCTCTTCCTCTCTCGGCTTCACTGCCCATGTGCAAAATGGGCTTAGGGCACCTCGTCCGCGGAATCGAATCTTGGGGCAGCCCAGTCCTCCCGAGCCAGCAAACACCATCCGACGACCGGAGAAGGTGCACGAGGACAGCGACGATGCTTTTGACCGACCGCAGGAAATCGAAAGACCGTAAGTTCCCGTTAAGGAAATGGCCCAGATTCGGCCGGCTCACCGAAGGCTCATTAACTTTCGGCAGCCTTTGCCAGCATCAAGAAATGCTCATCCCACTGAGTGTACGACTCGTCGACGGGTGGGTGTTGCTGCATTCTTCAGCTCGACAGCTGAGCTCGTTTACATGCAGTGTAAACGAAATCTGTGAGAGCCTCGGTGCGATTTGCAGTGTCAAAAAACTCACACGACAAACAACCAATGCAGCCATCCCCACAGCGTTCGCGGACCGTCAAAAACGAATGCCGAGGCTTTCGCCATTCCAATGGCAACCCTCGCAGTGCCCCAGCCCAGCTGCATGCGAGTTTGAAGAAATTTGGCGGATGCCCACACTGATTCCTGCTTGCATCTGTTCGACATTGAGGCACCCGAGACGTAGCGGAAATAATCTCCTGTTGCACGGCGCCGTGCCACAGAGTGCCCATGTGCCTCCGCCAAAATCTCCTGTGCCGGTTCGGCTTGCACATAGCATTTGCGGCCATGCTTCACGTGGCTCGCAAAATTAAAAACCACTGGGTGGACAGCGTCTTGTCTGGCCAGCGCTCCATGCCGACCTTTTTGCTTTCACGCCAACTGTGGTAGCGATCCCTTGGCCACAGGCCTTGAGGCTCTCGGCATACGCCATATTCCTGCTACAAGCATGCAAAGGGTCTCCGCAACCTGTTTTGGATCAGGTGCGAGTGGTTTCTGCAAAAAGTGAGGAAAGATGATGGATGGATGGATGGGTGGGCGGGTGGAATGCACAAACAAGTATAACAGCATCAGACAGGTGTGGGTGAGTGGGTGAGTGGGTGAGTGGGGGGTGAGTGGGGGAGTGGGTGAGTGGGTGAGTGGGTGGGTTGAGTGTGTGGGTTGAGTGTGTGGGTTGAGTGTGTGGGTTGCGTGTGTGGGTTGCGTGTGTGGGTTGCGTGTGTGGGTTGCGTGTGTGGGTTGCGTGTGTGGGTTGCGTGTGTGGGTTGCGTGTGTGGGTTGCGTGTGTGTGGGTTGCGTGTGTGTGGGTTGCGTGTGTGTGTGTTGGGTGTGTGTGTGTGTGTTGGGTGTGTGTGTGTGTGTGTGTTGGGTGTGTGTGTGTGTGTGTGTGTGTGTGTGTTGGGTGTGTGTGTTGGGTGTGTGTGTGTGTGTGTGTGTGTTGGGTGTGTGTGTGTGTGGGTGTGTGTGTTTGTGTTGTGTGTGTGTGTGTTGGGTGTGTGTGTGTGTTGGGTGTGTGTTGGGTGTGGTGTGTGTGTGTGTGTGTGTGTGTGTGTGTGTGTGTGTGTGTGTGTGTGTGTGTGTGTGTGTGTGTGTGTGTGTGTGTGTGTGTGTGTGTGTGTGTGTGTGTGTGTGTGTGTGTGTGTGTGTGTGTGTGTGTGTGTGTGTGTGTGTGTGTGTGTGTGTGTGTGTGTGTGTGTGTGTGTGTGTGTGTGTGTGTGTGTGTGTGTGTGTGTGTGTGTGTGTGTGTCTGTGTGTGTGTCTGTGTGTGTGTGTGTGCGTGTGTGTGAGTGATGTGCAGCAAAGCACTCTGAGGACCAAACCAGAGCCAGAGCCGGAGCCGCCAGGTCGGGTGCTTGGCTCAACTGCAAAGCGATGCCACGACATCTTCAATTTCCCGGCTCGCGGATCGCTCGACAGGCCCAGCCTCCGCATTCCGTGACGACCGTCTGCAGCTGGAGCCGCAAAATCATCTCCCTCTGAGCAGCCGGATCCGTTCCCGACATAAGTATGACAAGGTCTCTGTTCATGCGCTCCGTGTCCGCCCCGCTCAAGCTGCTTAACAGATTTTCAACACGACGCGAAGCCACGTCGTACTCCGACTGCCAATGGTCAGCGCTGGTTCCGTACTGTTTCATGAAAGCGAAGACAGCATGCAAGGCGGCGCGGTACTGCGCATCAGCATCATCGGATTGAGCATCTTCATTACAAGCACACGGAGTCTCCTTCTTCGGCGCTGCAGTACAAAGCCCGAGCAGCAAAAGCAAGCTCACCACCAAGAACAGGCGAGCGCCGCGAAGACGAGCCATGGCACACTGCTGAAGGGCCCAAAAGCTCCTGTTCCAGACCAGCTATTTAAGCAGGCATGACATCGTTCTCAGGAAACACTAACATCATAGAAACCATGCCATGTTCATTCTGTTGTGCTCAGCCGAACTTTCGCAAGACGGCGTCGATTCGGCTTCAGCACAGTGTGAGCAACTTCGCCCACTTGCAAAGAGCAAGCTTGAGAACAACCAAATGCTGCAACAAGTCTTCCATATGCCGATCGGAGTTTGTCACCCATTCAATCGCGGGCATTCTTTCTTGAAGAGCGGCAGTGCACATCGAAGTTAGGAGGCCGGCGTGGCACTGCGTGCACCGCACACAGCCAGCGTTCGCCGCGTACAGAAATTTGTAGTCCAGACGATTGCTTGCCACGACGGACCTGGGCAGCGAGACCAATGCCCAGACCAGTGAAGCATCCAAATCCGGCAGCCTTGGGAAACCGCATGCAATCTGCTTTCCAATGCAAATCCACTGCGGGTTAAGGTTCTTAGGGACCTAAACCCAACCATGATGAGCGCGCGGCAGCATCTGTGCACCTGGGCCGCACTAGGGCGAGCACTAAAAACGCCTTTCCGACGCCCCTTTAATTAAGATGCAGACCTTCCCTGCCTCGACGAATCCATCGCGACTGGGCGAGCCTTGTCTAAGCGCAAGCAACCTGAGCAGCGGCAATCTAACTTTCCAAGAGAGAGAGAGAGAGAGGGAGAGAGAGAGAGAGAGAGAGAGATATAGATTGGAAAAGCGGCTCTTTGTTCGCGGAGCCGCTTCAAGTAACAAGCAAGCAACCTTCCTCCTGCGGCGACGATCGTTTTGCTCGATCGTTCGCAAGACGGCGTCCGAGCAAGCAAGGAAACGAGACAGAAACGGTCGACATCTCATTCATCCAAGCTCGCTCATTCGCAAGACGGCGTCCGAGCAAGCAAGGAAACGAGACAGAAACGGTCGACATCTTCATTTGCTCAGCATCCGCGTGTACCGCCATCGGCTGATTAAACGACGCAAGAACTTGCGCTCAGCTGCATCCTTGAAGTCCGCGGCCCGAGCACGAAGCACGACGTCGCGAACAGGCGCCTCTGTAAGCAGTCTGGTATAGCTGCTTCCCTGCCTCTCGCCGAGACACGCAGCCATCCTCGCCGAAAGACCTTTGCGCAACTGCACCTTGTCGAAGTGCGCTGCGTGCACACGCATGAAAATCGCAGAGTTCCGATCGAAGACATCGAGGTAAAACTCCGGCACTCGCAACCGCCAAGTGCGCCGGAGCGTCGCGGCGACCGCAGAAGCCCAGCTCCGGGACACGGCGGTCATCGCCTGTCGTTGTCGCACTCCCACCTGCTCCAGCCTGATCATGACCACGTCCCCTCTGACCCTGGCAGTCACACTCGGAATGAACAGCCGCCACTGTTCCGCGCGGTCGAGAACCGTTTGCTGGCAGACGCCATCTCGACGACAATGAAAGTAGCCCTGGACATCGAGATGGTCGGTCACGACGGCGTGTCCGTCCCTCCAATGAACCTGCACACTCACGTGAACCCACATTGCATCGCACAGCAGCTTCTCCAGCAACGGCGCCGGCAAGCAAGAAGCCTTCGCCATCGCTGGTTCTGCCGCCATATCACCAGCTTTTCTTGAACCAGACTGCAAAAGCACCACGTGCATAGTCCACTGCATAGAGTCAAGTGCATCACAGAAGGAAAGGGGTTGCGGAAGCATGCGAACATGGCTCGACGACTGGGATTCGCAAAGACCGCAAAGGCCACATCCTCACAGAGCACAGAGAGAGAGAGAGAGAGAGAGACAGAGAGAGAGAGAGAAAGAGAGAGAGAGATATAGATTGGAAAGGCGGCTCTTTGTTCGCGGAGCCGCTTCAAGTAACAAGCAAGCAACCTTCCTCCTGCGGCGACGATCGTTTTGCTCGATCGTTCGCAAGACGATGCAAGATCAGGAGCGCAGAAACATCCACGCAGACGAGTGTTTAATTAAAGAAGAAGCCTTGAATTATGGCTCGCTCAAAAGTCAGGCTCGGCCCCTTCATTCTCGGCCAGGGCATCCAGACAGGAGATCCATTCCCGGACACTCTGTCGAAGCTCGCGAAACTTTTTTTCCCAAACTCGTTTGCTTTCGTAGAGAAAGGATTCTGGCTCCGGAGGCGGGTCCAGGGGGATTTCTTCTGCAGGCATCATTGAGAGGTAGAAGTCGATAGCCCGGAAAGCAGGTGATCTTCTGATCGATTCGAGAACTCTGCGTCTCTTGCAGTGTCGTTTCATTTCGTTCTCCACGGTCAGGGTTCCATCGTTGTTGTTGGATTCCTCCGAGACTTGTTTGCTATCGGAATAGCCGCAACCTGCAGAACTTTCGTTGTCCTGCACGGATCTTACCTCATCCAGCCGCCGCGGAGTGAACTGTTCCTTGTCCTTCGGCATTCTCCAGGGAGTAAGTAGTATGGAGAGTGCGCAAACATAGCCCATGATGCCTGCAGTTTCGAAGCATATATATAGATAGATAGATAGATAGATAGATAGAGAGATAGAGAGATAGATAGATAGATAGATATATATAGAAATATATATATATAGATAGATAGATAGATATAGATATAGATATATATATATATATATATGTATTATCGATATATGCATTTGCCAATCCCTCTGAAGGGTTGCCAATTGACCTACTGCACACCTACCGATTACAACATAGAACACTCGAAGAGGCAAATCCCTCTCATGGATTGCGCGGGGCACCTAAAATGTGCAACTTTACCTGGCGTTTCAACGCTCGACCAAGCCAATCCCTGTGAAGGGTTCCGCGGGCACCGCAAAATGTGTAACTTCACCTCGCGTTCGAACACTCGACAACGCCAATCTGTGTGAAGGGTTGCAAAATTCATCTCAATGCTCATCCAAAAATTGCAACTTTACCTCGCGTTCGAACACTCCACCACGCCAATCCCTGTGAAGGGTTGCAAAATTCATCTCAATGCTCATCAAAAATTGCTACTTTACCTCGCGTTCGAACACTCCACCACGCCAATCCCTGTGAAGGGTTGCAAAATTCAGCTCAATGCTCATCAAAAATTGCAACTTTACCTCGCGTTCGAACACTCCACCACGCCAATCCCTGTGAATGGTTGCAAAATTCAACTCAATGCACATCAAAAAATGCAACTTTACTTCGCGTTCGAACACTCGACCATGCCAATCCCTGTGAAGGGTTGCAAAATGCCAATCCCTGTGAAGGGTTGCAAAATGCAGTTCAGCTGCGCCCAAACCCTGTGAAGGGTTGCGCGGCGCGCGCAAAATGTGTAACTTTACCTCGCGTTTCAACGCCCGAGAATTCCAATCCCTGTGATCGGTTGCGCCGGGCGCCTAAAATGTGTAACTTTACCTCGCGTTTGAATGCCCGAGGAGGCGAATCCCTGTGAAGGGTTGCGCGGGCACCGCAAAATGTGTAACTTTACCTCGCGTTTGAACGCCCGAGAGTTCCAATCCCTGTGAAGGGTTGCGCCGGGCGCCTAAAATGTGTAACTTCACCTCGCGTTTGAACGCCCGAGGAGGCGAATCCCTGTGAATGGTTGCGCGGGCACAGCGAAATGTGTAACTTTACCTCGCGTTTGAACGCCCGAGAGTTCCAATCCCTGTGAAGGGTTGCGCCGCGCGCCTAAAATGTGTAACTTTACCTCGCGTTTGAACGCCCGAGGAAGCGAATCCCTGTGAAGGGTTCACCCGCGCGCCTAAAATGTGTAACTTTACCTCGCGTTTGAACGCCCGAGGAGGCGAATCCCTGTGAAGGGTTGCATTCCCGATGGACGCCGACGGTGCCACCCCCCGGCTTTAGAAGAGAGATTTAGATACCGAGATGTAGAGAGTAAGTCATAGAGGCATGGAGAGTCAGTCATAAGTAAGTAAGTAGAGTCAGTAAGTAAGTATAAGTAGAGTCAAGTAAGTAAGTCAGTAAGTCAGTAAGTCAGTAAGTCAGTAAAAGTCAGTAACTAGTAAGAAAGTAAGTAGAAGTAGTAAGTAAGTAAGTCAGTAAGTAAGTATAGAGATAGCACAGAGTCAAGTAAGCAAGTCAGTTTCAAGTGCTATGAGCTTGAACAGAGATAGTCATCTAGAGTCAAGTATCAAGTGTAGAGTCAAGTAAGGTATAGAGTCAAGTAAGTTGATTCTATGTCTGTCATCTATGTAGGCATCTAGAGTCAAGTATCAAGTGTAGAGTCAAGTAAGGTATAGAGTCAAGTAAGTTGATTCTATGTCTGTCATCTATGTACTCATCTGCGGGGCTCCGCACGGAAGAACCCTTCGCGATGCTTTCGGGAATTGATGGAGCATTGAACGATTGCAGGTTTCAGATGGATTTCGACCCTCGCATGCAATGGAACATGCCACAGGCTTGTCGGGTTGGTGGAATCAGGAGCGTTCGACTTTGTTCTGGCCTTCCGTTGGAAGGAATTCTCAACATGTACTCTGCGAAACACGGCAACGCAGCGAAAGTGAAAGAGTGAAGCAGTCTGCAGGTACAAGCTCTCTCATGTTGCAGTGAGAGCGGCGTCTGGCTCTTGGCTCCTTAGCTGCAACGAGATGCACTCAGAAAGAGCTGTCAATGATGGTGCAGACCGCCGAAGTCAGGCAAGCGTCCACCAACTTTCAGGAAGCTCGGAAGTTCCTTTGGCATGGCGAATGTTGCAACGTTCACCCGAAACGTACTGTAGTGAAGAGTGAAGACACTCGCCTTTCCAACGACACTTTCCAGGAAACTCTTGGCGCGATCGAGATGCACGCTTTGTGTTCTTGGCGGCGGCACGCTCTGCCACCAGTGATGCCAATCCAGCCTGACACCAAGCCCAGCCCTGACCCCTTCAAGTGCCGGAGGCTGTGGGACGTCGCAACGGCATAATCCCCTTACACCCGAGACCCGCAACACTTTTGGACTGCCTTGCCTTGGTGGCAGATTCCTTCTTCTGGCTCTCCTGCAGCTTGGCAAACTCGGCCAGCTCGTTGGCTCTGGCTCGGCCTTCCTGCGCAAACCGAGTTTGAGGTGCTAGATCCATACATCCCACGACAACAACTTGCCTGGCTCAGGAAACCCGTAGCACGAAAGAACCCACACCTTAATTGCTCTGCCTCGCTGACCGTTCGGTCGCACCGCAGAACATTCTCTTGAGGAGGGATTCAAAACGTCGCACCTGCAATGTTGAAACTCTACAAATCCCCATCTAAAGATCGCAAGACTCGCGACTGCGGAGCAGTCTCTCTAGGCTCCGTTTCACTGGAAATCATCAGGAACGTGAATATGGTAGCTGCACCGGTTCTTCGCCAGCGATAATCAGTCCAACTATGTCTAGAGGCCAGCAACAAGTCATCTCAAGTCGTAGTGTCTCCACAGAGCGCCTTCGTTTTACAATTGCGAGCGCCGGGTCCTTTGCACGTTGCTTGAGGAGGTCCTGGTTAGGATCCTTAGATCGAACACTGCCGAGTGCCAGCACTTCAGATTTTACGGCCGAATCGGTTTCAAACATGTTTCAGCCAAACTCTTGAAGAACTCTTCACCATAAACCGCTTTAGTTGGAACTAGGCAAGCATGTTGCCCAGCCCTTCCTGGCTTTGGCAGCCGTTCAAACAGACGCACGTCCGAGCCGGGAAGCTTCCTCGGAGATGCCAGCAGCCTGAGCCACTTCCTTGAGACAGCAAAACGGCACCGAGATCCGGAAGAGAAATGTCAGCGCTGACGAAAGGGCATCATCGAAGCCATCGTCTTTGGTCAGCGAAACATCTTGGGTCGCGCGCCCTTCCCACCCTGATGCACATCAGACATCACGATTATCCTGCTCATGAAATCAACCAGAGCAAGACATCCTTTTGGCAATGGCAGCCGGCCTTTCGTGGCGAGCCCTCCCCCATAGTCTCGGGCTGACAGCCCTGCCATGAGTGCCGCCGCACTCGGCCCTCCAACTGTGCTCAGAGCATCGCTGTGGAAGCTCTGCACATTTCGTTTTAAGCCAGAACATCGCAGTCATGGAATGTTGTCAATGTATAAGAATCGAGCCTGTGCCGCAACTGTCTGCAACTTGACTACCGGCAACTTGAGAGGTGCATAGCCTTGCAGCTCGTTTCTGAGAGGCCAGCGGGAGGTGCTGGGGCGGTGGACCGACCCCACTCCTGCAAGACCTTGTGACACGGAGACAGTGATGTGCGACTAGCCCGAATCACCCCAGAAGCCTCCACTGTTAGATTAGGGATCCAGTTTCTTGGCACGAGGCTTCCTCAAGACTCGCGCGACCTGACACTGGAAGGCTGGTGCTCTAGACTCGGTGGCGAGCAGCTCCGGGTTTCCGCTTGGGCCGCCACCGTCCAAAACCTTGGCCACTGCTGCCGCCTGCACTGAAAGGCCCGTCCATGCACTCATACTTGCAGCAAGGGCCCCCCCAGCCTCGACAGCCTCCGCCTCCCTTTATTATATGAGAATTGGGGATCCAGTTTGCTGGCCTGCGCCCATCGCCGCTTTGCCTCGTCTGGGCGCCGGCCCTCGAGCGACAGCGCCAGATCACGGCTGGCCTCGACGCTCAGCCTGAGAAGCTCCGAGGCTCGGTTTCTGTGCCCGGCAGCCCTGCTTTCTCAGAGATCTCCCGCTGGGCCTTCTTGTGCTGGCAGGAAAATCAGCTTCAGGGATCCGCATGGAGGCTATTGCTCCAAGGGCTCCTACAGGCCCCAGGGGGGGGCAGCTTTAAAGAAGTCACGGAGGTGACTTGAAGCCATGCCTCACGGACAGATTGGCACGAGCGGACAGGCACAAAACTACGGGTGCAGCGCGCGGGTACGCAGGCTGCACGAGCCTGCTGCTGTGAGTACTGGCAGCTCAAAGTTGCGCCAGTTTGTTTTAATTTGGCATGCATCTGTCCCGTCTTCTATGCTAGCGACGGAGACAGTTGCACCAGAAAGCTATCACCGAGATCCTGTCCACCCTGCTCAACAATGGCACGAGAGGCGAGGATCATGACCTTGTCGACAATGTCGGTGTTTGTCTGGTCCCGTGGCAGTGGCGGTCGGCGTTCATTGACGTAGCGGTTGTTGAACGGTTGCTGCCAGTTGTTTCCGGCTACCTTAGAGCTGCATGCCGTCGTGTTGTTAGGGTTTGGGCTTCTGACAGCAGAACCCATCCTTTGAAACCCATTACAAGCTGCCTGGTGAGTAAGTTCATGCGGGATCGCCCTGGCGCCATGCATGACTCCCACGACGCCCGCGAGCGTGGCTGCCTGGTTGTCACAGTCGAAGCCAGCTGCAATTGCAATGCCAACGGTTCGCTTGAAGTCGCCCCCACCGTACAGGAATGCCATGGCACCCATGGCTCCATTCACCATCGCCGAGACTCCACAGTTCCATGGAACTCCACCACAGTCGGAGGGGTAATAAGTGTATGCATTCCTGATCTTGTACCAGGTCTGCCTCCAGTCCTGGGGACTCTCTGAGTGCCACTGACGAACATCCTGGAGGGCTTTGTGGTACGGACTGCCTCCCGGAACCTTTGACATACCAATGTCATACATCCTGTGGACATCATTGCTAAAGAACGCAGCACTGTAAAGAGCAGCGTAGAAGCGGGTAGGGTGCGTGCCCCAGGAGTCGCTGGTAATCCTGGCACCCCACTCTGCGCGATCCACAGCCTAGGTTAACATGCCACTGCCTTAAAACATGATGTAAGTCAATGTAAGTTCATTGAGTTTAAGAAGATTCGCCGTCGCTCAGCTCCGTACCTTGTCGACCATACCAGGATAGATGGCGCTCCAGAGCTCGTTCACGAGCTGTGGATCGATCGTCCACCAAAATCGGTTGTGTCCCTGTGAACCAGTAAGTGGTGGAATCTCACCTCTGTTCATGTTTTCTCGCGCGACCTTGTTCGCAAACCAGAGCGCATCGCCGCCGTTGACCTGGATGTGGACATAGCTCTTCCAGTATCCGGCGATCTGCTTGTAGTTCAAGCCAAGACCATGCTCCATCAATGCATGCAGGGTGACAAACTCGATGTCCGTGTCGTCCTAACGACTACGACAATCCATTGCATAACCCAGGAATTTCGAACAGTTGGTTTCCGATGAAAACATGAGTCAGACTCTGGAATTTAGCTGGTGGTTCAGAACCAGAACAATCTATTTAGGTGCGCCGAGGCCTGCTTTTCCGTGTGTGGTGTTCATGGTTTCCGGTAGCGAGCTGAAAATCTAATGTGCAGAGAGCTCCAGCATAAAAACTAAATATCGATGATGAGTTCGTGTGGACTTAAACGGTAAGACATAAAATGACTTAATTAATTTGAAGCACGGTATGATAGAGGACGTCGGAACCTTCGGTGTGTTTTCAACATCCTGGTCTGCAAGCAAGGCCACAGTTTTCTCGCCAAAACTTGAGCAGAGGATGGTGGCCACTGCCCTAGCACCAAGCACCAGCAAATCCTATTTACTCACCAGTCATCACGTAAACCCACGACTTGTCGGCATTGATTAATCGTACACAGAAGAAGCTACACTCTATGCCGCACAATGTAACATCAGAACTCTTGAATAACAGGAAACCCTGTCGCAGAGCAAACCGCCTCTACCCTACAAGTCCGCGCTTACCTACCTACACAAACACACACACACACACACACACACACACACACACACACACACACACGCACAAAGACACCCGTGACCAGGTTGCTACAAAAGCGCGTTGCGCCGAGGCACATCAGTGTAGGCTCCCTGGAGTTGATTCAACCTTTGGGGGATGCGTCCTCGCCCGTCTGAGTTGATCCTGAGGCCGGCCGAGTGTGCGCTGTGTTGGTCGTAGTAGCCCTGCGGCTCGATGGGCATGGGCGAATCGTTGTAGAGGAACTCGAAGGGCCTCTGTTGAGCACACGCCAATCAATGTCAAACATCTCTCCTGAATGCCCACTACTGCTGACAAGAGAGGTCCCAATGCACGGGGGAAGTGATATCAGATGGTCTGGGAACCTGCTCCGGATTTAATCAAGGTGCAAGCCCATGAAGTTGCCCACAAGTTGACCCACCCAGTAGCCCATGAGCTTATCGTACAGGACATGCTTGCTGATAGTGCGGCTCGCCCCGGCTAGGGAGCCCAGGTCTTTGGTCTGGTTGGATCCTCGAAGCTGGGCGACATCAGCAGCAGCTGTTGCACAGCGAAGGGCCAAGACGGCCAGAAACAGGTTCCGTGCCATGGCGATGGGCTTGAAAAGGCTTGAACCAAAAGCTAAGCTGCTAAGCGGCGTTTGCTCCACAGCTTGGCTTCCTGCTTCTAAAGCCTGGCCATGTCTTGCAGCTTCGGAACTGGCAGGGCATGGCAAGGACAAGGTCGATGACTTCCAACACGATCTTCTTAGCATCCTCACAGAGCAGAGAGCAATGGCGCGAAGCGTCGGCTCGAAGCTCGGCCATAGGCACATTGAAGCTTCGGGCCTCGGGATCAGGGAAGGCAAACTCATTCGCAAGGGCGAAGGCCAGCCCGTGGTGCCGGTGAGCAGATGTAAACCTCGGGATTTCCTTCCATGCCACAATGCCAGCATACTCTCCTGGACTCTTCTGGCCACCAAGGCCTCCGCCTGTGGCACTTCATCAGCTCGTGGCCCTCATCCTCCTCTTCCAAGTCTCCAGATCTCGCTGCCAGCAGGGATGCCTTGGCCTTCCTAGGCGACCAAAGACAAAGAGTCCCAATGAATGCTAACGAGGCCTTGCCTATTATTGCTTGGCTTGCAGATGGGCGGCGCCTCTTCTTCCAGCAATCGCTGCTGCACCGTCGACGGCGCCTGTCCCCACAGGTCGCTGCCAAAAACGAGATCGGAGGGGTCGCCTCCGGCACGGCTTCAGGCAGCAGTTGACTACTCATCATGCCAGGAGAGAACACACCAGGCCTTCCAAACATCCAGAAAATCTTCTGGTGTCGTCTTGGGCAGAGGAGCAGCGGCAGCATTCACACCTGCGCCGAGGAGACTTCTCACCCGGGGCATGGCAATGACTGCGCGCACAGTGTGCCGAGCCGATGCTGCAGTTCTACACACCCTGGGCTGCTTCATGTGAAGGAGAGCAGGGATGTCCATAGCCTGAACTCGTACCGCTCGGCCAACTCCTGTCAAGTCCACGTCTGCCAGAAAACATCCTTCCCACATCTTTCGAGGACATCCGCATGGTGTGAAGCGGAGTGCTGGCAAGGCGCGGCTTGGCGTGACGCGGTGTCCATCAAGAGTCCGGCATCATCTAAGTAGGACACCGTGAGCTCCTGCGCTACACCGTTGCAGATGTGTGTTTCGGATGTTGGAGCTTGAACTGTTGTCAAAGACGATGCAGGGAGTGTTGCGAGCGTAGGGATCGGTGATCTTGATGCTTGAGCCTACTTTTGCCCACTGCTACGAGCAAGGCAGCTGGTCCTCCCCAACAGACACCGCCCGAACAGCACGCAAAGTGCCAAGGTCTGCATCCACCAGGCCTTGCAAACAAGAGTTTGATTGACAGCTCTTCCGCCACAATTGAACGTCAAGCTACGGGTGGCGAGGTCTGAGTCTTACAGTTTATGATGTTGGCATAAGTTGGCAACGTAAACTGATCCTGTAAACAGGATGAGGCGGACGAAAAATGGACTAGTTTTCTGAAAAGTTAGAACCAACTTCTGATGTACCTTTCAAAGGTGTGATCCGACTAACCTTCGAAAAATCCCTTCCAAAGTCTCCAAAAAGAGGTTTCAAAACGTCTACCCTTTTGAAGTCTTGCCGTGGAAGGGCGAATTGACGTAGCACTCGTGGCTACACACTCACGCTGACAACTCTATCAACAGCCTATCAGAAAGGAGACTCAATAGCAGTAGGACTTTATCATCGCGAAACACAATCTGAAAAGAAATGTCTACCCTTAACCCCTAAACCCTAAACCATCCTAAACCCTCATGAAACCGGACTTGATGACCCTAAACCCTAAACCTTAAACCCAAAAAGCCCCATGTCCATGAGGCCTCTCCTTGGTCCCGTGGGGGAGCTCCCCCCAGAAAGACTGTGGAGCCTTAAACCAGTATCACCGTGGACTGTAGTAATAGTAATTAACTCTAGTTTTGTCTAGCACTGTAATAGACGGCTTCTTACTTCCAGTCCATCGATCCATATTGTGTAGTGGTGTGTGAGAGGTTCAGCAATCGAAGCTGGACCGATGTACTGCGCTTACAGCACCAACATGCAGGCCGCCAGTGTCATCTGGAGCCACGACGGCAAAAGTCAACCCGATGCATTTCCGGGTTCCGGCTCCGCCAGCTCTGTACTTGAGGCGAGATGCAAACTGGCTGCGAACTGCATGCCGTCAGCCCATGAGCTGAAACAAAGTTGCCTCCTGCATATCCAAAGAAATCACGGGCCAAGCCCTCCGTAGCTTGTGCTCGGAGGCCTCCACGGAAGGGTGATGGGGGATGGCGCACCTGCAATTAGAGGAACGCTGCAGCACCTGAGTGCTGCCGGTGTTGCAGGCTTGTCCTGAGGTTCCATCTGGAATCTGGTCGGGGCCGACTAGCCGGACGCACATTTGCGATTTCAGATGGGCCACACTGCACCCAGGCGGCATGAATCGTCACCGTTTCATCTCGATCTGTCGGCGTGGGAGGAGGGCGCTGATGTCGTGGATCGGGGCGAGAGCTTTCTCCAGCTCTGCAGCAGCTTTTGCAGCGTCCAGGGAAGTGGAGAGCTCCAGCTTTGTCGCCTCTGCTTCCGCCAACTGCTTCGCCAGCTCTGCACTTTTTGCCTTCCCGACCTCCAGCGCAGCCTTCAGATGGGGCACCTCGGCTAGGGGCTCTTCAGTGGCCGTCTCTTGCTGCATCTTGTTGGTCTCCTTGCTTGTATCGGACTTGGCAGGGATGGTTGGCGTGTCGTTAACCGGGGCTGCAGGCTGTGCCGTCTGCGGCTGCTCGGGCATCGTCAGCCACTCGAGTTCCCGTCTCCTGCAGTGATACCACCGACAGCTTCAGCCACATCTTCAGCCAGTCTGACGTGTGGTCATCGGTCGTGGGGAGTGAGATGCCGGGCTCGTGCAATTCGCTTGATCCTGGCCTCTGCCATGCTGCCATCTCACCTGGATCGTCCAACAGCTCCTCCTCGGTCACATGGCCCCTCCCAAAAATCGGAACTACAGGACGCCTACGACTTCGATCCAGAGCTGGTGGCACAGCTCCAAGCTCTGGATCAAAGTTGTGGGCGTCCTGTAGTTCCGAGTCTTGCGACTCATCATCATCGTCGCCCAAGGCGGTGTCGGAATCATCCATGGCGTAGCACACTAGCTGCGCTGCTGTTGTCCTCGCCAGTGCTGCTTGGGGCTGAGTCTTCCAGCTCGTCGACCTCGATGGCAGCTTCGGCCTTCACGGCATGTACCTGCACATCTCTGGCCAAGGCCGCCAATTCGCTGTCCGATTGGCTTAGCAATCCCATCACGACGGCCCCACCTTTCTTGGCAGCATGGATCATGCACGATAGACGATAGGCTTGTCAGAGATGGGCGGGGTCGTCTCAGTGAAGATATCACCACCTATACTGACTCGTGTGGTCTCATCCGACTGCATGTTACAGCACTTTCCATAGCGGCCATAGCGGAGCATGGCTCGGCGGCGAAGCAATGCAATACTTTGCACCAAGCGTCCGGACACTTTTTCAAACGCGGGCAATGGCGCTCTCACACTCACACACACAACATGTGGTATACTTGCGGCCGTCGCCAGGGGCCATTCTGCCAGGACTGGTTCGGGAGAGCTGGTCAATTTGATGACCCCGTTACTGTAATTTCTCGCCAAGATGCAGTTGGGGAGGCAGGAGTGATTCGCTCTGGCCAAAGTCGGGAACACCACCTGCAAGGACCGAGGGGCCAACACCGGCAGCTCGAAGAAAAGCATGCCCGCGCGTTTGTTTCGGGGGCCGAGGCCAACAAAGGAAACTTTGGCAGGCCTGGTCCTGACCCGCTGGCCCGGCGCCGAAGGAGTTGAAGTGTAGCACGGACTTCACGAAGAGCGCCTCAGGTTCTGCCTGGGACAGGACATCGGAGCCTGTGCGAGCCTGATCTCCTAATACGCCATCATTGGCAAAGCAGAAAAGCGGCCCATGAGTTCCCCAGCCTCTTAGACTCGTCGGTGAGCATTATGCATGGGATTGTGCTGTCGGAGAAGGGACTCGAATTTTCTAGGGGAGGATGCACGTGAACATGGACAACTCTCCAGAGCTCTCTCCAATTGAGAGCCCGAGAGGGCCTGACCTCTTGCTGGTATTATCGCTCCGGAACTCATGCAGACGACCTTGCCGTCTCGATGAAGGACACTCCCAGATCTTCACATGCATTTCGGGGAGAGGCATGGTCATGGTAGTACCACCAGAGATGTTTGCCTCTGAGCTGGGCTAGACACTGGGCTGGCCCGCCAATGATGGCTGCACGGCTGCATGTGCGTTCTGATGCACTGGGAGAGGACATGAGGGGTATCTGGCAAAACCACAGCTCTCAGCAGCCTCTCCCGAAAAACAATCCAAGGAACTCCCGCACAGGTCTCACACTCTTATACCACGGCGTTTTTTGCACATGGCGTGACCAAAAAACACGAATGCAAGACTCCTAGTAAAGTACTTGAGGCCAAGAGGCCTCTCTTGTGGTTGCCCGCAACCGCTGTAGTGCCGGACTAGTGCTTTCCGGGGGAACGAAAAGCTCCGCCTGTCACAGGCAGAGGCGAATCTGAAAAAGATCTGCTCGTAGCCATAGCTGCTCCGAGCGTCTGCGGCCCCCATGGCTCGCCTGCCGCAGCTTTGGGGCCTTCTGCACGGCCTCGGCCGTTAGGCGCCGAAGCCGCGGGACGCGGAGAAGCGGCAGCTCGGACAGAACCAGGTCCTTGGTCGCACATCCACGCGCAGCAGAACTTTCGAGCGATGCCTTCCAGCGCTTGGCGTAGGGCGACCAGAAGACAGGTGCTGAGCTCAGCCAAGGCTCGCCCTCGGAGTAGTCGCACGTGGCGCGGAGAAACTGGCCGAGCTCCGGCCGAGCGGAGTCTGTGACGACAGCTGGCGCTGGCGATCCCATCGGGTCAGTGTGCCATGCGTGCCCATGTCACGCCATGGCGTACAGTCACGAGGGGTCTTCCACGAGTCACTCAGAAGCTCAGCTATGTTCTGTAGCAGGTACAGTAGCTTGTCCAGCTAAAGCAGGTAGGGCGATAAGGGTGCTTGCTGTAGGGTGAGAAGTAACCTTAAGCTGAAGCAAGCCTCGAGAGGCTTCATGCGCCTAGCTGTGCAGATTCGCCAAAACCGATTTGCAGCAAGCCACATTCGACGTGAAAACCGAATCAACAGGACTCTTCGCGCCGACTTGGCCTTAAAGCGGACGGTCGGATTGGACACTTCGTCGTCCTGACAACAAGCAACTGGAAACCTCTCGAAATCAATACAACTCTTCGGCTGGTGCAAGAAAAAACCCATGACTTGCCATGCCATAGAGCTAAAAGGAATTCTTCGACGAAAGCACTACCGAGCAGAGAAAAGCTGGGCACCTCTTCAGGTCGAATGGCCGTGGCCCGGCGGGTTTTAGTCATATGCCTCTAAAACTTTTTTGCCACCCTCCCATCTGAATAATGTCGCAACGCAGGGAACTCGTTCGAATCTGATTCTGCGAGAGGGAGGGCTTTACGCTCTCGCAACTCGGACAAGCCAGACGAGGGAGGGCTTTAGGGTTTAGAGTTTAGGACCGTTTAAGGCTTACGGGACTTTTTTAGAGTGGTTGCTTTGTTGCTTTTTCTTGCTGCTCTTGCACTTAGATCACACGGGTGCCAGTCTCCTCTTCTCTTGGCAACTTTTCGAAGCATCGAAATTGGGATTCTTCCCAGTGTAGCGGTTCTGTCGTCGCTTGTCGCCACACAAACCTTCAGGCTGCTCCAAGATGCGCTGGGCGATCTATTGGAGCTTACTGCTTCGGTGTGTGGCTGTACTCGTCTCCTCCATGTCAGCTTTGGCGTGAAGGGCTGTTTTTCCTCTCCTCCTGCGCCCGCTCCCTTCCCACTCTGTCCTCAAAGTTCCTCAAAGATCCCATGCTGACCGTATGTCTTGCCGTCCCGTCTCTTTATTTATTCACTTGATTGTCCACCATGTGTTCGTGAATCTGTGGGTGTCAAGCCCTGACGCACCGGTCCCTACATATCTGTTCCTCTGGCTAGTCTCACGTCATAACAACAACCTGCCCCCCCCTCCCAACCCCTCGCTGCTCGCCATGCATCGCCCCAGGCCTGGTCGGTGCGGCAGGGCGGTGGGGGCGCGTGGGGGTGGTGGGGTTGGTGTGGTGGGGCGGTGGTTTTGGTGGTTTGTGGTGGTGGAGGTGGTTTTGGTGGTTTGTGGTGGTGGAGGTGGTGGAGGTGGTGGAGGTGGTGGAGGTGGTGGAGGTGGTGGTGGTGGTGGTGGGCGGTGGTGGTGGGCGGTGGTGGGAAGTGGCGGTGGCGGTGGCTGTGGTGGTGGGCGGTGGTGGTGGTGGTGGTGGTGGTGGTGGTGGCGGCGGCGGCGGAGGTGGTCACACACCACCTATCGATCGATCCATCCATGTGCTAATCTATGCATCGATGCATCAATCGATCCAGCTCGCAAAGGATGCTGATGAGAGAAACGGCATGGGATTGAACAGGATTGGATGTGCTGACCGGCGTGCTACCCTGCCACGGGGCCTCCTCATCGGAATAATCCTGCATGAACTACGGACACACAACTGCCGGACGTGGACGTCGTCTCTCTAGCAGGCGGACCTCCTCAATGGCTCCTGGCATGGGCGGGTCGTCTTCCTCAAAGCGCAAATAAGGGAACGCAGCAGGCAAGCAGCACATCCAATCCACAGCAACGGCACCTCATCTGGCTGCAAAACCCATTCCTGGTGACATGATGCTCGGAGCATGAGGTAACTTGCACTCACGACCTGAGGTTCGAACCAGAAAGTCAGCAATGGGCAAGGAGTTCTGGGAGTTGCCGCCCACAGCGGCAAACCTGGGGGGCTTGAAACACACAGCTTGCAAACTTGATATTGCTGTCTGGCAATCTGGCCCTTTTTAAGTTTGCCTCGTCGGCTAATGGCGAAATCAATTGCAGAATCTGCATGAACGAGGGGTATGGAAGCCGCATATTTGCCGCTCCATTGGCAGGGAGTGTCCCCCCGGCCAGCAGGTACGACGTTTCGAAAGCTTGTAAGAACGGGCCACGTGCAACAGTTGGGACACGCCCTCACCCGCAAGAAACTCATTAGACTATTTCGGCATCATGTCGGCACACAGAGGTGCTTCGTTGCCTAAGGCTCACCTCAGCACTCTCCTCCGTTGCAGGAGCCTTGGTGCAAAGCAAAATTCGGCAACAAAGTGTAAACCCACAATTGGGTGCCAAGGTTCTGTGCAAGAAGCCAGGCGATGAGAATCACAAGGAAAGATCCCGCGTTTCCCTTCAGCACGGCTCCCAGCCTGTGCTTGCTGGTGTAGCACTGTTAAGGCGACCGCCACGGGAGAAGAAAGATCCGTCCTGACGAACCTGCTTCGGAGCGGAAGAAGCCAGGAAAGCCGTTCTCCGCTCGGAGGCACCGTGCTGGAACCTGCTGCTAAGGCTAGCCAAGGCCAGAAGGCGACTGACATAGCGAATCCCCCCCGCTGCGGCACTTTGGAGATGAGCAAGCTTCTTGGCGGAAGGGCGGAGATCTTCCTTACGCCAAGCCTAGGCCAAGTCAGGAAGGTCTGCGCTTAGCGTGTCGAGGTCATCTCAGATATCCGCCGAGGCCACAGGCCCAGGCGTCTTGGGGGTTACCTCAGGTACCCTTCCTTCTCCCTGCAGTCCAAACGTTTGGAGACACCCGCTTTTTGCGTTCGTTTGCCACCCACTTGTCCGGCTTTACCTGATTTGTCGGCCTGCCCCCCCCCCTCCCAGGCCCCCCCCAGGCCCCCCTCCCCTCCCTCCCCCCTCCCTCCGCCCGCTCCCCCCCTCCCCGCACCTCCCCCTGTGCCTCCTGGCTTGGCCCTTGCTTCAATCCGCTGCTTTTCCTTCCGTCGCCGTCCGCGGCCGCATGACCAGCAAAAGAGCCGTAAGGCCGGAAGATGGCGCTCGCACAATCGACGCTCACCTGTTTCGAGGTTGGGGTTGAGAGGCCCGCCTAGCATGCATCCACTACCGCCTCGCCCTGCCGCTACAGAGCCGAGGCGGGCGGCGTAGCGTTAAAATTAGATCCTATAAACGGCACTGCAGCCAAGCGGCCTTCGCCACGACTCCTGCCTGGCTACTGTCGGAGCACTTGCGGCATGCTTTTGCCTGTGTCATGAGGGTAATTGTCAAAGATCGTGCCGAAGCTAGACATTGGTCTCCTGGCCGCCCTGCCTTTCCCACATTGTGGGCCAAGCCTGCCAGCTTATTGGGGCCACATGCAAATCTCGCGTCTCCGCCAAATGCCACTGGAGGTAAGCCGAGCTGCAAGTGCTGCAGAACCAGTCCCCGGCACGTGGAGGAAAGCGACAGATCTGGCAAAGGTGAAGTGGAGAAATGCGACCTGGCTTTCTGCAGATTTCGAGATCTCCTCAAAATCAACCACTCGGTGTGGACCAAGGAACAGATGCAAAGCTTTCCGCCGTAGCCCCACAGTCCCAAAGGGACCGTCTCCTCTTCGAGCACTTCACACGTCAGGTTATGAAAGAGGCCAGCTTCGTGCAAAATTCCCTTGAACTGGAGGTGCCGTAAGCAGTCCACCCTCGCCTCCTTTTCTTCGAGCTGCCAGGCGTGCAGGGTGCCGACAGGAACTTCCTGCTCAACCACCCTATCGCACGAGCCCCCGAATTCACACAGACGTCGTGCCTCATAGACCACCGCAGGTCTTTCAACTTCTCCTGCTTCACAAAGCGCGCTGACATCTCAGCTACGAGTAGGCTGCACAACGACAAATGCTGCCCTTGCCAAAGCTTGCCTCTAGCAAGCCGCTGTTCGCGAGCAATACTCCTCGACCAGACTTTAAGGTGCACACATCTTCAACTTATGCCCCCGGCATGACATCTACCTCCAGACCTGCCATCCCAGCTGGGATGGGCTCCTCACCAGTACTGGCCAAAGGATTCCTGCACGTTCCAGGAGCCGAGCAATGCGGCCTTTCGAAGCATCATAGATCACGCCGAATCACGCCGTCTGTGCTCATGTCGGGCCCGACCCGCCTTCGACTGGATGAACTACGAAGCAACTTCGAGGCAAGGGAAGCCTGATGGGGCTGTTTATGCCTCCTTTCGTTTCAGAACGCCGGGTTGTGTTTGCTCACATGCTCATTGGCACCTGCGGGCGTAGGCCAGGTGATCTTCGGCAGCAACATGGTACTGAAAGTGTACACCCTGGCTGAGCGCTTGTTGCACTCGGCTTCGAAGATTGTCACTCATCCTGGCAAGGTAAATTTCCCAATTTACACACGTGCGAGCAGTTTGGTCGCATGTGGATCCGTGCAGCCGGCCTTACAAGGTCCTCTGGGCTGAAACCCGGGCGCAAGTGGCTCACCGTCAGGTCCTCCAGCCAAGGATCTCATCAAAAGTGATGTGGAAACGCCAGAAAACTGTTGATGTCAAGGCTCTGTCTGTGGGCCGAAAACGAGGACGGAGGTGGCTAGGTGAGAGTTCGACAATGCCCCGAAGCCACCCATCGACCTTCAAGACATGCCAACACGGCCAGGACTTTATGAGGACAGCTCTTCCGAGGGCCGCGTGCCACATTTCAGCCGAGCAACACGCCCAGCAAGACGACTCTCTTGTATCTCGGCACAAACCTGCGGTGCTGTCTCTTCACGAAGGCGTTTGGAACGTTTAGGGACACAGCATCTCCAGGGCTGGCAAGCGGCTCCCTGAGCCTGCGCTCAAGCTCCAGGTGCTCCCTTTCGGTCACATCGGTGTACCACTGCGCCCCTGTATCACAGAGGGTCAAGACGTCGAAGTCTTGCAGCACTTCTCCATTCTGCCTGCCAGTCAACTCACGGAGAAACCCTCCCTGATCCCTGATCCGCTAGCAGCTAGCGTACCCGCCTGATGCCGCTGTGCGCGGCCGGGGCTGAAAGCCAGCAGGCAGACGCAAGGCGCTCTATGTCTGCTTCGCCTTCCTGCATGCTCTCTGACTCTCTGGCCTGCAAAGCCTCTAGGCACCAGCAAGCCTTGCTGCAAGGGCCCACGCGGTCCTGAAGGTCTTGCCCATGCAGTTTGCCTGAGACATGGACCCAGGCTTCGCGAGACTGTCAAAGAGGGTGATGTACACCAGTAGTCAGAAGCATGCCTACGTCACCTCGTTTATCCGTTGTGTGTGGGCTTCTCACAACCAGATCTGCAGGATTGGCAGAACTGGGCAACACACGTTCGGACCACTGGGAAATGTGGACGACCCGAGAATTGTGGAATCAGTCAACCCACCCCTTGTGTAAACATGCCCCAGTCGGCCCCAGTTGATGAAGCGGCCGAACCAATTTTGTGAGGACGTCTCAAGCATAACCGAGTCGCGAAAAATGCTGGAGAACTTACCCATGTCGTCCATCGATATTTGCAGTTCCGCTTCTGCAATTGACACATCACCAGAGTAGACTTGGCTCAATACCTAAGCTGCATGTTCATTCGCCGACTTTAGAGCACCTGATGCCACTTCTCTTGGAAGTGCGGTACTAGCCAAGCCAAGCCCAGATGCTCCAAGCCATTCTGGCTCTGCCTGACTGGCAGCAAAAGCAACCACGAGGACATCGTTTGCCGGTGTCGTTGGAAGATGTCCGCGCACAGCCTCTACACCTGCGCAGGAACTGCTCAAGGAATTGCAAGCAATGTGAGCTCCAGAGCTCGAATGCCCTTTCTTTTGTAGCGGTGCTGCAACCACAAGAAATGCCCCCAAGCGCTGGGCCGCCGGGCCTTGGCGCCTCTTCAGCTGCGAAGCAGGCTGCAACTTGGCATAGAGCCTCCCCCCCCCGGCCGGGCATCGAGCGAGTGCCAGCTGCACGAAGCGTTTCACCGCCCTGCCTGTGCCAGGGAAGCATCCATCCCACGGACGCCTGGGCAACGGACAGCCAGCTTGGTGTTGGCATTCCTTCGGAAAAGCTTCCGCGACTGCAGCCTTTGGGGAAATTATCTGTCTGTCACTGGTTTACCCTCAGCTGTGCAAATCTGAATGTAGATCCAGCACCTGACATTTCGCAACTCGACAACCCCGAAAGACCCTGAACCATCCCCTCCAATTCTGCCACAGCGCAAAAGGCGGGAGGCTCTCGCTTGAAATCTTGCTCGCTTGCTCGACATCCAAACCCAGCACACGCAGGTAGCTGCCCTGGTGGACGAGATCTGCGACTGTGGCCTGCAAGGTCTAGCCAAACTAGCGAAAAGTCTTGAGGTTGCAGAGGGCTGGGACCAAGTCATGCCTCTGACAGTGGATTGGCTTCCACAAGTAGCCGCTCCAGGTTCTGAAGCCTGACGTGTACAAAGACCACAAGATTCCACCCCACGACAGCGCACGTGACGACATTTCAGAAAGCTATAAGTTACGGTAAGAGCTTGAGGAGAAGGGCCGGGCGCCTAAACCATCGACACCAAAGCATTCCGAATGGCGAGCATCAGGCACGAGTGAAAGGAGCTCCCTGCCTTGTCGTCAGACCATGTGGCAAGCTTTGCAGCCGGTTGTTGTAGATGTAAAGCCAACGCAACTCCGACCTCACGGGTGACAGCGCTGCCACTGCAGGGCTGCGGCATTGTCCCTCTGTGAAAGCTGGGACACAATTCCAGGATCGAGTCCGGAAGCGCTCGAAGAAAGTTGTCGTGCAGTGACAAGTATTGTAGGTTCCTCGGTCGGTGTGTTTGTAGTGCTGGCCGAGAGACAGCCAGGCGTACATGGCGCCCTTGCAAGCAAAGCGCTGCAGCGAGCCAAATTGTCGTGGCAGTTGCTCCAAGCGGTTTCCCTGGAGCGACATCTCAGTCGTCCGAGTTAGCTGGCAGATGCCGTCCTCAGTGTCATCTTGCCAACACTGGCATGTCATCATGCTGGTTTCTGGAACTGGAAAATACTTACGTTTGTTGTCACGCAAAGTCGTTGCCAGTAATTTCAGCACAGAGTGAATGAACGTGTCGGAACCTGCCCTGGTGACTTTCGTGCTCTCAAAGAAGCAGTCCCGATCACCTAATTTTCAAGATGACGACAGTGCCACCAGTGGGCACAAGAAGCATCTCAGCAATCAGGTTAGCATGGGCGCAGATTGCTTCCGACAAGACCGACGTTGATCCCGAGCAGTTAAATAGCACCCATCGGGCTTTGATTTGAGTCGGTTTAACACAATTTCTTGACATGAGGGCTCTACAAAGGACCTGCCATGATTTGGGAATCCCCCACGATAAAAAGATACTTGTACCGCAACAGACTCACTACATCGCCATCGCCCCATGTCAAAGTTTGACGAGTCTCGGGTAAGGCCTCCAGCTTGTTCGCATAGGCTCGGACGCACTTGATGTCAGGCAATCCACCTTGCAATCCGAGCTGTGCCATGGTTTGACTCGGTGATGCAAGGGTGAGCAAACTCCCAAGACAGTTGGCAGCCTGCCTACGGCTTCCGGAATTTGCCGTAACAGGTTTCCAGATACCTCTGCTGAGAGGTTGAAGTGCTTAGGAAAATCCGACACCAGGGAGCTGAACTCCGAGTCCTGCACCTTTAAACCGTTCACCAAAGGAGGATATTGCTGTGGCAGCTCCTCAAGCTGGTTGCCGTCGAAGTAGAAGTCCCACAGGCGAACCAGTTTACCTCTGCGTTCGGAACAGGTTGCAGCCCATGGTGGACTAAAGCGGCGCTAAGGGTAGTATAAAGCTCCTACAAAGGTTCTGCACGGACTTCTTGGTTCAGGGGCTTCGAAGAGAGTTCTAAAAGAACTGCAGGGCTTAAAGATTAAAGATGCATAAGGGTTCCTGGGCGCCGATTGCTGGCGGTTCCGCCATAGCCGCCCTCGTCTACACACCAGAGATTCATGTCCCAGCTCTTGCGGTCGTCACCCAGCGGTGCATCGCTACATCAGGCTTTGAAACTTCGAGAGGAGTAGAGTTGTTGGATGCTTTGGAGTCTCTTGGCGGACAAGCAAAGGCCTAATGAATCGTTCGCTTGCTTGCTGCCGCCAAAATGCACAGACTCTCGGGTAAGCGCCGCAATGGATTGCAACTCATCAGAAACCTTGCTCGGTGCTCTTCGAAGGGACAGGAGAAATAGACACTGCTACAGTCATACAAGGTTGAACTTCACCTACAGACATCAAATCAACAACGGTGGCTGAATCATAGAGCTCTCTCCAGGAAGTTGGGGTTGGGACGGTTGGAAAGAAAATCCTAGATGCATGGCTCCGATTGACATGCCTGCTTTACCAGGACACCACGTCTGGCGCAGTTTGATGACAAAGCCCCAGCATGATAAGCTCGCGCGGTCGTGAGCTCGTAAATAGTGTGCTAGGACTGGGATGCCGTTTCTGTTCTGCTCTCCTTTTCTGAGCAGGGACGCTATGCGCCCATCTTGTCACACGTTGCATAACCACTGCGTGTTCCCACAGGCATAGTTCAGGAGGTCAACAGCACATTTTGCGTTGTCAGATGTTGCAGGACCGATGCAGCCTTCGCATGACCAATGACGAAGCCAGAACGCCCCTCTTTCAGAAACACATCCATTGCACGCAAGTCTCTCCTTAAGGCAAGCGCTGCTGCAGGTTTTGTAGCTCACACAGCTCTTCAGGCAACTCCGTGATCTGCGTTGACACGAAGCATAGCCTGGCATTTTTCGCACATGCAGCAGCAAAGGCACACTCGCCTTGAACCATTCAGACTGCGTTTGGGAGGATCGGGCATTTGCTGCAGTCACATTCTTGGCGTCAGCCTCCCGAGTTCACCCATCTGTCCCTGCCTTGATAAGGACTTCAAGAGCTTGATTTCAGGAGGTACCCGGACAAGCGGATGCCCAGAGAAGTCTAAACAGCGCAGGCCTGGACAGGACACATGATGTCAAGCTGAGTCAACCAGCAGTCTTGGGCAGCTCTACCTCGACAACCCTCCACTGGCACCTTGCAGCTGCAAGATGCTGGCCGGTATTTCGTGCAGGGGCAGCAGCTCCCGCCCGTGCTTTATCTCAAAGGTTCGTACAAACCTTGGGTTATCGGGTTTCAACCGAAGTCGATCGAAGTCGCATGCAACAAGGCGTCCAGAAATGCAAAGGACTGATGACCAAAATTCGTCCAAGCTGCTCAATATCTGTTGGGTCTCGGCGATGAAGCTCCTCGCTGCACTCGTTGTACAGCAAACGCACGCCATTGGTCTCTGAGGAGAGAAACCTGCTCCAAGTATGTGACATGTTGTTCTACCTACAGGCAGCGCGAGTTCTTGAACTGCTTCGATTTATTCTTGCAGCCAGGAAGCTCAGTGCAGCGCTCACAGTCTCTTCGTGGTGAAGTTTCACCGGGTGCTTCCGCACCAAGCTTGCGAGGCTGACTTGCTTGGAGGGCACAGCTCCTTGGTGGCCAAAATACTCTGGCCGAAGCCTCCCTAGCAGGCATCCACCTAGCCAGACCGAGATGCGGTCGGCAAAAAGACTACTTTTTGCCAGTCGCTTGCATAATTTCAGAAATCACAGCATCTGCACTCACCTTCTGTCAAGGCTGCTACTTTCTTTCGGCCGAGGTTCAAGTGATAGGCATGGAGGCAGCCAGGCACCACAATCTTCAGACAAGTTCAACAGCCAAGAACAGGGTGCAAACTACTTTTGTGCTTCAGCCTACTTTCGGCCATGGTTAGACAGAAAATGTGCGACCATCTATGTATTGATGCATGCATCTTTGAGAAAACAAACGAAGACCCAGCCAGGTACGGAAAGAGAGAGACGGACGGACAAAGGGTCTGAGAGGTACAGAGAGTAAGAGATGGAAACACAGAACATCACCGAACAACAGGGACAGGCAGGCTGCGGGCAGGCAACCTGGGCCCACTTGCTCGGGTTCAACGTGCAGTCGCAGCCGCTGCAACGGTATTCGGAAGCTTCCATGGGTGTTGCTTAGATCACATTTAAGTGGATTATGGTGGATTGGTTGCTCTGCCGTCGTTTTAGCAACATCGCGAGCCTCGGAGGGGGCGACCCTGTGCTCTTTGTAGCACCCCATTAGAAATTATAAAGGTTGACATTTTCACCTGCTTACCCGGCCTTGTGCATTCCGGAAGTGTTTGTGGTATATGGTATTTGGTATTCAGGTCAGGCAATCCGCCAGTTCGCGTGATGTGTGCACAAAGTCTCGGTTGTCAAATTGCTGCAGATTCACCGACGTGAGGCATGCAGTCAGGTCACACTCCCGACACGAAGCCTGCAAGCTTCCATCTCGCAACAGGAACTAGAGGCTAGCAAGGCCCACACAGCTGATGCAGCTCCCCTGCGGACCATTCGTCCAACTCCTGTAGGACCTCGAGCTTCTGAATGCAAGCGCAGAAAGGCTCAGCCTGTTCAGAGCCTGGCCTTTGCGACCGCATTCACACCAACGGTCTGCGTGCCTGATGTTAACAATCTGATGCAGCTCATGTACACCGGCTACAGTACCCCCTTGCGAGACACATCACGTGTTATAGGAGGAACGAGACAGTTCCTGCCTCGCCGGTCAATGTTTCCGAACTCCTCCACTGACGCAATCCAGAGCAGAAGGCACTCTCGGCGAAAACTCCACAGCACCATGCGCAGCTAAAGATTCAAACGAAGTACGACCTCTAGCCGAGCTGAGAGAAGGTCCTTCTTGATTTGCTCAACGTCACTGGCACTCAGCACCATGACCTGTCATGGATATACTGGAACATGCTGGAACATGGCAGTGGGGCTTTCGTTTCATGCAGCTGTCTGTCATGCAGAGTGAACGTTTTAGGCCGTGCGGCAGCTAGGAATTGCTGCCAACCTTTCCGTGTACCGTCTCTGTTTCCAAGTTAGAAGCCCCACCGGCCTTTCAAAGGCATGCACAAACGGTGCAATGCCAGACTCTGTGCCACCAGCAGCCAATAAATTCAACAGGGGCCCACCCGTTGAGTGAAACGGCTGCACAGGTTGAGACAAAGCGCTGTGCTTGAAGGCTACAGTGCTGCAGCATGCTGCAGCAGTGCGATCCCTGCAAGATGGAGCGTAGATAAACAGTCGGAGAGCATACGATGCGCACTCGTACACATCGGCTTTCAACCGCATCAGGAAGGATCCCGACTGTGCTACATGTACACAACACCAGCTATCTCTGCAGGACAAATTTGGTGAAGAGCCTCTTAGAGGGACATCACAACCCGAATTCAGTCACGGCTTCTCGGCAACAGACACGTCGCAGACAAACCCACCAGCAGGAGCACGTCGATAGGCACTGCCTGCCAAAAGGGCGAGGCCATGCAAAACGCCCGCCAAGGCACACACACCTGCATGCACGCAAGAAGGTGCACTTACCATACTTGACTTGGGTTCTTTAAGCCTGGACACTTGCTTCGGTTAACCACGACAGAGTGTGGTATGCTGTGCAGCTGTTGTGGCTTTCCTGTTGCTGTATATGCACGCATACACACTGTCACATCATACAGACGTCTATCATTCATGCATAAAGACAGACAGACTAGCATCAAGCCAGCCGGCTAGGCAGACAGACGGACAGATAGATATGTACATATGGCATCCAGCGGACGCAAAAGAATTTGCTGTCAGTTTGCTGGATGATGCAGCATCGCATGCGGAGAAGACACATCACTAATGTCACTTGGACTTCTTCACACGACCGATCTATCCGACTGTGCAACTTGAAGCCGCCGAGCGCCTAGCCTGTTCCCAGGAAAGGATTGTCGTGCCTGAGGCAGCAGTACCGCCGCAGCACTGGTTGGTAGCAAAGCGTTAACATCGCGCCGTTCATGCTGCATGGATGCAAAGTTCAGATCTTGCAGCTCCGCGGCTTGTACTTCCCGCGGAGGGCAGGCAGGCTCTCTGCCCGGAGCATCTCCTTTCAGCCGAAAAGGCGAGGACTCCAGACCGACAAAGAGCGGACCGGTGCACTTTGGCCAGCTCGACAACTGCATGCCGCCGGCATGCAGAAATGCAAATCGTGTACGTAATACTGCTGTTTTGACCGCTGATGCTCATCTCGTATTGTCTTCGCCTGCAGAAGAAGAATCACAGCCCGACGTCTCAATGAGTTCGGAGCCCTTTGCCTTCACAGCCGATGGCATCGGGACTGCGCCTTGCGAAGTGGAAGCCGACATCCTGGCACATCAAAGGTGACTCTAAGTGCTGAAATGTCAACTCTGCTACCAACCTCCTCTTTGACTTTCGGCCAAGCGCAGCAGAAGACGCCGCGGGATTTACCGTCGAGACCTCCTCAAACACACTGGTCGTGATGCACTACACGTTGGCAGAGGCACAATAGAATAGAGTCAGCACATGTATTCATTCGGGATGGGCAGCGGTGGATCACAGTATCGAGCGATGCGGCATCCCGCCTCCTGCGTTTCAGTTGGCACCTTCTTTGGGATTTGGGCAGGGGCCCTCTCCACGTGCCATGGGATCGAAGAGACCGTGCGGCCGGTCCACCGCAGCAGCTCCACTTGAACCTCGCTACCAGCGCACCGTTGAACCCACGCCCTACGTCGCACAGCCGCAGCGATGAGAGCCGAGGCCCAGGCACCGCTGCATTGAAAGCGCAGCTCTGTTCGCCAGTCCAGCCCAGAGAATCGCTTGAAGTCCTGCAAAAGCAGAAGACGAGGCCAGAAACATGTGCAAGAGTTTCTTACTTTATTGTGAATATTCCTTCAGATTTTCTACGTGTCGGCGTCCTCGCGAGCAGAAAGGCAATAAACGCCTTTCAAGTAGCCGTGCGCCTGCTCCGCCTTTAGCATCTTGCCGAAGCGCGCATACAAACGCCGGTATTTCTTTGCATCCCCCTTCTTGCCGTAAGGAACCTCAAGAGCACAAGGACGGCACCGGCCGGGTGCCAGGTGAAGGGACAGGTCTCTCAGGGAAACAGCAATTACGAGCAATGAATAAACGAACAACGGCCTTCCTCAGCACGGTACATTGGTCAGAATCATGGTGGGGTGGCCACGGAGGGTCTCCAGCATCGATTCAGGATCTTTGTGTTGGAATGTCACAGAACATGGTAGCCGACGCTTCGAGATGCTCAACGGATCCTGCCAGCACCACATGTCTTGCATTCGCTGAAACGCCAATTTCCGGAACCGAGCCGAGTTCGCGATGCCGGGCACGGACTCATTTCGCAACCCAGCCTCTTTTTCAGCTACGTCGCCACTGGGCAATGGCCAGATTAGTGACGCAGGCCCCGACCGTGGCCGAGGGAGCGCACGAGCAAAAGCCTCCAACTGTTGCTGCTCAAGAAACAACCTGCAAGAATGCCACGCGGCACTGACACCGGCGTGGCGGCCTGCAGATTCCTGTTTGCCAAGTGTACGACGTCCACATCGGCGTGGCTGCCAACTAGCACCAGCTTCGAGACGTGCGCGGAAGGAGACAACTCAAGCGATCGCACCACCTGGGCGGAAATTTGCGAGGGAAACTGCCCACGCGAGTATGCATACACCTTTCCAGCCTCTGCCTGTCTTGGTATCAATCTAAGGCGTGCCAGGAAGGGTTTCAGCAGGATTGGGTTGTTTCGTCCTGCATCTTTGCTCCAAAACCGCGCACTTCAAAAACAACTGTCCACATGATATAAAGGCAGTATACACCGACCCGCTGAGATTTAAAAAAGACCCATTGGGAGCACTGGAACTTCTTCGCACGCACCTCCCGGAAACGGGCTTGGTCAAAGTAGGGAAACTCTTGAAAAGGCATCTGCATGACCTCAGCTGGCAGAGCTGGGAACTGCAAAAGAATGTCGGGCAGTAAGGCGCCTCCCAGAGCCCAGAAGATCCCCCAGAGCTCTGGGCCCCCGCGCCGGGCTTGCTGGAGGCACACCCAAGGCCAGGCCCAAAGCCTCCAAAAGCAGTTGGCCGCGGCCACAGAAGGGGTCCCACACGCAGAGGTGACGCCTCAGCTCAGCCCAATGACTGGGGTCCATGTGACACGTAGTGTTTCATAAACATGAATAGTGCCACGGCTTTATGAAACACTAGTCTATCTATCTCTGTCTGACTGTCTCGCTGGGTGCAGGTGTTACAGCAGGCACCGCCAAAAACTGCGCCTCTTGACATGCACCTTAACCCCGCATTGTCGCAGTGGAAGATTATCCCACCGCAGTCGAAGAAGCGATAAGTCAAATACTTTGCTATCACAACCTGAGCAAATACCCCACGATTGGGCGGATGCCCCGTCCTGAACCGAGAATATTCGAACCGCGGCGGCATTCGAACAGGAGCACATGCAAAAACTTCCAGCCCTGACGGCTACGTAGATTCCTGCAGGCCATATCCTCCCCGTCCCCCCCCGAATACAGGGATGTTGCTGAACACGGGGCCTGCTTGCAGCAAGTTGGAATCAATGTTGGCTATAGTCGTGCTGATGGTGCATGCGCACATATGACCTGGTGTTGTCCTGGGAACGCCTGTCAAGATCACTGCATGTGAACGAGCTGCTCCGCTTTACTGCACTCTTCGAGCAGCTCCAAACACTGGGACTTCAACACCTTAGCCGCACACAGGGGCTGGCGGCTTGTGAAACTGCAGCAGCACAGGACATGGGACTGATCGCACCAGCCAGCACTCCAGGCATCGCACGCAGGCAGCTGCGTGAGAGTCTCCCAATGTCCACGTGCTTTCACGGCCCTGCGAGTGCCCGAGCTAGAGCTCCGCATACACATGCGCGGAAGTTTCCAACCTCCTTGTGGTGGTCGTCTGCCTCCTCCACTGCTAGGGAATACGCACGTAACCTCGGGAACGATGCCCGAAGCGCAGCTTCGCCCACTTCGCCCTGAATCCACCAAGTCGCTGAGGCACCGCAGTGATGGCCACACTCAAATCGCACTCGTTCCTGCGCCACAAGCACGCTGACCGACTAACCTTCCAGTTTTTGCCGAGGCAAAGAAACACATGACCTCTTCAACTCCACGTGAAGCGTCGGCAAAGCTGGCATCTCCTTGAGCCGAAGGAGCAGCTGGTGGCAGAAACGCAAACTCGGCTTCCGAAGAATCAGTCCTTCTCCCCCCTGCCGTAGAAAAGCTCATCCTCGTTCTGCTGAAGCCGCAGGTTCATGAAGAACTGACGGCGTCGCTCGATGCCTCTGAACATCACTGTCGCCGGCAAGGGACAACCCAGCTTTCCATTGACGAGCCAAGAGGCCAGTCAGAACAGCACGTTCTATGACATCAGTGTGGTACAGGCGCGACTTCTCCGTATGGATGTTGAGCCTTTCCAGATAATTTTCTGCATATCTCTCTTATCCACATCGCACCCGTTGTCATGCATATATGCAGTCGACGAATAATTGTTGCGGGCGGCGGCGGATTTGCTGGCTCTGCTCCAAACCACATATAGTCAGGCCAGGGGACGCCGGCTACCTGGATTCGCTGCAACATCAACGCAGGAACGACTGAATGAGAAGCCTCAGGCCAGCACATAGTTCGACAGCGTGGACTCGTACCCGGCATGGAAAAGCTCTCCAACACCTTCCGGTCATCTTCCAACTAGCGATAACAAGCAGGATACCAGGACAGGACTGCAAAGCGTACATGTGCAGACTGCACATTTTCCACCATGCAATCGCTCTATCTCACATCTCGGACAAGCGCCTAGCCGTCCTCCAAGAAGCAGGCGGCTCTGCAGCGCTGCGCGCCAGAGCAAAGACTCCGGGGCCTTGTGCATGCCACTAGCTACCAGCTTGCCCATGGTGGCAGCAGAAGCAGCTGCTGCCAGCGTTGTCAACAAACAAGCACACTCTCCACCTCTATGTGAAGCCCCCCATGGTAACGCTCCGCACGTCCACGGAGTATGCCCAGAGCCTGCCACCCGAAGCATCTTGTTCTGCAAGCTTGGGGTCACCGGGGTCCTCAGACACAGTCTGCCCACCTCCAGCTCACGCTGTAGCATTGGCTCCAAGCCTCGCAACACTGCCGGCTTTGGCTTGCACCCACACGCATAACACAAGAGCAAACGTTGGCCGCACGACACCACCCGCAACCACTGGACATGTGCCAGCCTGGGGCGGTGTCGAAGAACAGCCGCCTTTTTCACATTGGAAGAGACAACATGCGATCCAACGGCCGTCCCCGTAAGATTTAAAGGCTAAAGGGGCCACAGCAAGCCTCGGCCTATCCCACAAATAGCGCCCACATGTTGCTTGCGTTCCTGTCGAACCCGCTCATGTGGTTCTTCCTTCAGTGCTTGGTGCCAGCCCGTTCTATTCGCCATCCGGTGCAAAACAGAATTGCCAATCCAGCTGCACAATGATTCCACGGTGGCCCGAAGCCGACGAACTTTACGAGGGCCGCCTAGAAAGCCCTGTTGAGACCGAAAGCTCCCCATAGCCACCCTTAAACCAGTGGCCTTGGCTGCACCACCCTCGACAGCGCTGCCGCTTCCAGCTTCGAGCCCCGTGCGGCAGCTCCACGGGCAACAGCTGCCACGGACGAAGCAGACATGTCGTCGGCACTGCTGTCAGAAACCCCTTCCTCCGACGATTCTATCAGTCTTCAGACGACGCCTTCTAGGGTGATGCCGCTGACGGCCGCCAGACTTTTCCACATGCTTCTTCTCTTGCTCCTACCACAGAGAACAAAACGGACTCTAACACGACCTGACCTGTCTTAGTTCAGGCTGTACTGCACTCAAGACGTAGGGACTCTTTGAGCCAAACAGCAGCGAAGGAGACCAGTCTGGAAAGCAGAACCATCTCCGGACAGAGCACGTCTGTGGAATGCCGGACATCAACCTTGAAACTATGCCGTAGAATCCTGCCTTGCCTGAAGCCCCAGGAAGAGCAAGGGAAAGGAAATGCGGACTTGCCACCAGCATGCTGGCACGGACGGCCGTCCGGATCATTAACGGCTGCGACCTGCTAGAGTGAGACGGGCGCAGGATTCCCAGTGTGTCCAGCGTTCTGACCCCGTTTCGGCGAAGCCGAAGCAGCGAATTGGCTTCAGCCTCAAGCCTCAACGAGGTGAGGAGCAGGTGTAGGAAAAGACACCTGGGGTGCAGCCATCGGGGACTTCATGAAAGTAAAAGAATCCCACATCCACCTTGTAGTCTGACGCAGTCACGGGATCGACGCCCCAGCATATCCGATAAGTGTCGGGTCTGCCTGCGTGAGATTGGCCAAGGCGGATTGTCGCGGAGGAGCCGTCAGCTGCGATCTTGCTGAAGAGCCCCGGGTTCATGAGGCCTGCGAAGGAAGCGACCACGGGAGTTGAGTCGCCGCAGGAACCACTTTGCTCAATGAGAAGGATCCTGTTCGTGAGAGTAAACCTAGAGCCATAAAGTATAAAGCTACAAACCGAGCCCATACTGCAGTCAACTCGATAGGTGCCGTAAGGACCGCTCAAGCTGAATATCCCGAGCTCGACAACAAAGTTCGCTCCACCAGCATGCACACCGTGGGACCAGCATATGCGGTAGTGCGTGCCGATGCAGCTCTCAGCTGGAGTGGGCACACGGCACAGCGCGTAGCTCCCACCTTGGACCGCGGAGCCCAAGGCATATGATCCATCTGTGACATAAGCTGGGCTGGAGAGCCCAGGAATAGTGGCAACGACTGCTTCGGTGGACCCACAAAGGCCAGCATTCGAGACGACTTCAATCTGGTTGCTTGCATTCAAGCCCACGCCGGTCGGCTCGACGACGCAGGCCTTGCCGAGGGTACAAGCAATGTCCATACCCTGCACAGGACCATTCATGACAAAGTTTCCAAGAGTGACTTTGTAGTCTGGATAGCCATTGAAGGGGTCAAATCCCCAACAGATCCTGTACAAGCCTGGCTCTCCTGAGAATCCAAGGCCACCATCGTAGCGATCACCATCGCTGTACACGTAACCCGGGTTTGCTGGTGGCACCATGAGGTCCGTTGAAGCCGGGTTGTTTATGCCTGACCATGTGATAACTGTGGGCGATGTATCACCACACCTACTATTTTGCGAGATGAACAGTAGCCTGCTCGCATGTCCCAGGCGGACACCTGCCACTGTGATCTTGCACGGCTCACTTAGAGTGCACTCATTGTCTTGCGGGACGGGTCCACCCATGCGCAAAGTGGCGACAGGGACGTGGTAGTCAGATTCCTGCGTTGGAGCATAACCCCAGCATACCTTGTAATCACCAGGATACCCTCCGGTCGGAATACCGAGGTCAAAGGTGTCAAAGTCATTGCCGGATGCATTGACTGGATTCAACGCATCGTCGAAGTACACCAGATTCAAGTTGGCCTGGCCACAAACATCGCTCAATGTGGTGATGGTGATTTTGTTCGTCGCTGCCAGGTTTACTCCTGTTACCTGAATAGAACATGACCAGCCCAAGGTGCAGTAGAGCAGGGAGGTCTCGCGATCGGGCCCATCAATCGAGAAGGTCCCGAGCTGGATGTTGAAATTCTCATTGCTGCTCGGGTTGTGACCCCAGCAAATCGTGTATCCACTGCCTGGACCATCCGACGTGGTCCGCGCAATGCCAAGCTTGTACAGGGACGGGTTGCCTGTCTCAGGAGTTGCGGGGTTCGTCAAGCCGTCGAAAACTGCTACTGCTGGGCTAGAATCCCCACACGAGCTGTCGGCATCAATAATGAGAACTTGGTTCGTAGCTACCAAGCCAACACCAGACAGTGTGATATCACAGTCCGTGCCCAATATGCAGTGCTGTGCCACCTGCACGGGGCCATTTACTGTCAAGTAGCCAATCGGCGCCTTATACAAGGACGCGGCACCATCCCCAGGTGAATGGGACCAGCAAAGGGTATAATCTGAACGTGGCTGACCAGACAAGGGTGTATTCAAGTCATAACTGACATAAGGTGACTGCGTTTCGACACCGATAGTTGAGAGCATTCCTGTAATGGATGCTAAAGTCGGGCCATTGTCACCACAGTTTCCGGCAGACAGCACTATAATCTTGTTGGTGCTGGCAAGGTCCAAGCCAATGAGCGAGACGACACATGACAACCCAAAAGTGCAGGCTACGTCTTGCACATTGGGACCTGTCACTGTAAAGTCACCGAGGGTGAACATAAAGTCGGATGTAGTGCTTGGACTATCTGACCAGCACAATGTGTAGCCAGCCTGGGCAGTTCCTGTGTTCGGTCGTCCCAGCCTGTACTCCGTGAAGGTTCCATCTTGAACCAATTTCTCGACTTCCATGGGGCTGAATGTGGCCGGAACTGCACCGGCGCCGCAGGTGCTACCGGGTGCGATGACGAGCAGCTTGTTCGTGCTTGCAAAAGCTACACCGGTCAGCGTGAGGATGCATTCTTCACCCTTAATGCATACGGATCCAGAGAGAAGGTCAGGCCCTCCAAGCTGGAAAGTGCCAACGTAAACGTTGTAGTCTGCCTGAGTGGCCGGCTGAAAAGCCCAGCAAAGAACGTAGCTTGTGCTGGGTATCCCTTCTGCAGCAATGCCAAAAGAGAAAGTATCTGTGGCAGCCGCAGCTGGGTTTGCCCATGTCTGTTGCGAGGCATTTGCCAGCAAAGCACTGCTGTCGGTGCAGGATGCCCCACTTTCCAGGATAAGTAAGCCATGAGCGCCCAAGTCGAATCCAGAACCAGTAAGGGTAATCGAACAGGACGAAGTCAACACGCAATTGTGATTGCTCTGAACCGGCCCGTGCAAAGTGAACAGACCGGCGTCGATCAAGTAGTCTCCGTTTGTCTTGGCAGGCGGTGTCTGTGTTGGGGCAGGGGCCCAGCAAAGTCGATATCCACTTCCGGGCTGGTTATTGTGGGCACTGAGCGGGGTTCCGAAAGCATAGTCCGCAAAGGGCGAGCTCTGATCAGCCAGCACTGGATGCACGAAACTAGTTCCGAATGAGGCCACCAGCGAGTCATCAAGAGCCCTGCAAATGCTGCCAAAGGTGGCATCGTACGTTCCGACAGAAGCAAGGACCGCGTTGGTTTGGGCAAGGCCTTGACCCTGCAGACTCACTGCACACGTCTTGCCCATGGTACAAACATGCGTCATTCCAAAAGTTGGCCCGGTCATGACAAAGCTACCTACCAGAAAAACGTAGTCGTCAACAGTCGCAGGACTGGAAGCCCAGCACAAAGAGTAGGTTGCTGTCGTATCCCCAGTCCTGGCAATTTTCATCTCGTAATAGTTGTCATCCTCGTTATCCCAAACAATGCGAGGGTTCTCGAAGGTGCCGGTGAAGCTTGCAGCCACAGCTCCAGCACCACAAGTTGAACCTTCGATCACCAGCACTTTGTAGGCTGCACCGGTTGCAGACTGGCTGTGGCCAGCCAGCACAAGCGTGCAGTCGGATCCCAGGGTGCATGTGAAGCTTTGGCCACTTGTAGGCCCTTTCATGGTGAAATTGCCGACCTCAGTGGTATAGTCTGTGACATCATCTGAATCTGCTGAGGAATAACATAGCTTGAAATCCCCAGGAGATCCGCCGGATGCAGTACCAAGGTCGAACACCGCAGTCGGATCTACTGCACTGGTGGCAACCTGAGGGTTTGTGACGCCTGGCCACGCTTCCGACGCAGTTCCGCTGCCACATGCATTCGAGGATGCATCTAGCGCCACGATACTAGAATTCTCATTGAAGCCTGTGCCAGTCATCTCGAAGCTACATGCAGCTGTCAAGGTGCAACTTGGATTGAAATAGCCGGATGAGCAATATGCGGCGTCCACAGGATCAGGGCGAAAGCTGCCTTTCAAGCAGCAGTAGAAGGCCATACCCGCATAGCCAGCAGCTGCATTACCCTCTTGAATGAACTGCCAGGACAGGCACTGCGGCCAGTACTGGGCACACAGATCACAACAGTCCACAGCGCCACCGACCTCCTGGCATCCTTCAGCAATAGAGTTTTGATCAAGAGTGATTGCGAGGTTCGAACCTTGGTAACATACGCCGGTCTCGGTAACGCAGTCTGTCGCCCACACGGCAGCAGTCAGCGAAAGGAGGAGACCGACATCATACAGCTTGCTCCGCATCCCAGGCATCACAGCATCGGAGGATGTTCATCAGCACAGGTGCAAAAAACAGCGATGTTCTCACCTCCCTGTAAGCTGGCCTAATCCCCCTTCTTAAGCAGTCGAACTTGACTCGACGCTCTTGACTTGCGAGGGTTTACGCGTGAGAAGCTTTTTTCATGCTATGGACCAACAGCTCCGCGGGCCGATCACCAATTCCAGCACTCCCCCCCCCGCCCCGCCGACAAATCAACATTGACGCATGCATCTACTCCTTGCCAGCAATGGTGGTCCGCTGAGGTGGATAGTAGTTTCCAAGGTCCTGTCTGTGCCACCGGGGCAGAAGAGGAGAAATTCTGACTGCTGCTTGGCCTCGTAGGTCGGCCGATCAATCTCCTCTGGCAAAGCAGCCTGCCCCCACCACACAGGATGCCTCCGAAGCACATGCTTTCCTGCCCTCTGCACGCAAGAGGGACTGGCCAGTTTCTCTGAGTACTCGGCTGGAGAGGCTTGTAGGCAACCTTGAGATCGGCCTTCGGAGCTCGTGAGGGGAGCATGGGGCGTAATTGTCAAACGTACTCACTTAGTCGATACCGCATAGTCTTCCAGCATGGTGCCCCATTCAAAGTATATCATCGAACACTGATTGTGAAAGTCTTGAGTGTAGTGGGCTGTCGGGCTACGCACTTTACACGTCCCACAGCCAGCCTGCCCAGGCTTCGCCACAGAAACGGACGACCTCACCACGACGCAGACAACAATTGCAATCAGAATCAGAAGCTGTACAGATGTTGGCTTACTTCTCCTTTTCGACGCTTCGAGTGGCGTTCTAGCGATGCACGTGCCTGTGCTGTGCCCGCGGCCTGCTTGCCTGCTTGCTCCAACGGCAGCAGCATGAGGCCATGTTGGGCCAGTGATTTGTACAAAACAGTCATCTAGATGATCAGATTCATTTGGGGGACACCCCGAGGCTTCGAAGGTGAACAGTTTCCATTATGCCAATGGAAAACAAAGAACGATCATGTTGTGCAGCTGCGCAAAGTTAGCGCTCGGAGTCTTTGGGGTGAGCTCCATCGGCCACCCGATCGCGCTCAAGATTCCGCACAGCTGCTGTTGAACCAGATCCAAACAACCAGTTTTAAACAACACCGAAGCTCATCGGAGAGGGCCCCGGGGATTGGTCCCATTGTACAGTGGGATACATTTAGGCGGAGGCTGCTGGTATTTGCCACTCTGGGCTGCCACGGCAAGGGTCCATGGCAACGGCAAAGTTTGCAAGCAGCTCGGCCCATCCCAACTTTTCAAGTTGGGCGACGAATAAGCGGGCGGTTGGGCAAGTTTCAGCAGCAAGAGCACAGTTTAGCCTGATTGGCAATACTTCTCTGCCAGGAACATGGATCGGCACAACACTCCTGTGGCTCCACCTGCCCGCGCCGACAAAAGGATAACATTCGGGTCGCAGCGCCACGTCTCTGACATGAGTCGGGAAGAAACTTGTAACCCACATGGAGGACAAAGGTCCTTGCTGCAGTTGCTGATTCCACAACGTCGTGCGCACGATGGCAACTGGTGCGCAACCCTTTCGGTTTGAATGGGCCGAACCTGAGACGGTTCAAACAAAGGCTGTGAGCCTAAGTCCTTGCCATGGTTCTAACGGCAGATGGTCAACAGAACGCCTGCATAGGCTTACCAACGGCTGGAATAAGTGCCAGAACGTGTGCCGCGAGACAGCACGAATTGCTGCAACGGGGTTGGCACGAAGGCCGGAACTACAACGAAGAGCGAAACCATGCTACTTGCATGGCTTTGGCAGCCCCTCGCATTTACCTCATTCTTCCGCCGATTCCTCTAGTATGCCGATCAAGTGCGACCCATCTCCTCAGCTGTGCACAACACGAATCGTGAAAGGAACCTGCGCAACCGAGAAGTGTCTGGACGGCATGGCAGTCCCGTCTTCCATGCCCACATTTGCCGTTGATGTGGGGACTGTGGAGACTACTTCGCGACTCTTGGCGGCCATGCCTCGACTTCTATCCTCTCCAAATATCGCCTCACATCGGCCGCAGAACGACTGCAGTAGTCTGCCCACACACACCCCAAAAGCACGGTAGTTACAGCCGGGCGACTTGGTAGGCGTCAAAAAGGACACGGTGCTGTGGGCACAAGGTTCTGGCAGCTGCCATCACGTTATGCAACTCCTGCGCCGCTTCGACACGGGAGGTGCGCAATACAAACTGAGTGACTAGAAACAGGCTCCTCGTGCTTGAAAGAAGTAAGATCTGCTGCTGCCATGTCCTTAGACGAGTGACGAGAAAATCAACAGCTTGCTACGGCACTCTGCCGATTTCTCCTTGTGCACTCACTTGCCAGCACAGGTTCCAGGAGCTTCTGTACAAGAAGGACCCGGTCATGTGCATCAAGCTCCGCCAAAGACCATAAGACACAGGACCTGGTAGCTTCACACGCAAGTTCTTGTGTGGCTGCCACGCGCATGTGGCAGTTTTGCAAAATAGTTGGTTTTGCAACTGCAGCATGCAGGGAAGTCCTCAGCCTGGCTCGATACCCCGAACTGTTGCAAACAGAAGACATGTAACGTGCATCTGAGCTGCATTTGCTCTGCAGTCAAGGCGTGGCTGTTGCGAAGCATGACCGCGCTGATTCTTCCGATGACTTCTGGCTGCTGGAATCTAACCTGCCGATCTGCTGTGGGACAGTGTCGAATCTAACGCTGGCAGTCTCACCCCAAGTTGCCTGAGCACATCCCATCAAGATGCTGGTCAGCTGCGGGATGCCTGAGCTGCATCGCTTCTCTCCAGCCCTCTTCCCCCACTCTGCTCAGCTCCTTCCGCTTGTAGACTCCAACTGGCACTCAGCATCATGCACTGCTGCCGAGTGGCTGAAGCGAGAGGCTCCCGGGTTGTTGGCAAAAGTACCACAAATCTCCTGTCAAATCAGAGCTTGAAAGCTTTCGACCATGTGGAGACCCGATTTTGCCTCAAAAAGTCGCTGATGCTTGACCCGCGCCCGCCCGAAGGACCAGACCTCGTGCCCACCGGAGGGTGGTGTGCTTCAGGCACACACGAGAGTATGTAAATGGATATTTCTCAAAGCAAGCTCTCACAAGTTGTTATCGTGTCCGAGGCGCCGTATTGGCCATCTCCTGAGGCTTCAAGGAAGCCACCTGCGGGGCCATCTCGTCCCCGATGCTCTTGAAGAGTTGGATCTGTGCGGTCCTGTCAAGCACGGTTCTTGCGGTATGCAAGGAAGGACATCTTCTCTTGAGTCACTGAAACTGAGGCCTGTCTCTCCCGGGCATACGTGCGATGGGCTAACATCCCCGTGAGATAGCAACCTTGCGAACCCTTTTTGGGGCCCCAGTCTGCATGGGCCTGAAGGCTCTTGGAAATCCTTTCTCACTTCGAGGTTGTTTTGTGAAACCTGTTCACTGCGCTGCGGCTGCAAGCTCAGCGCTTTGTACAAGTATCTCCGTGGACACATGCCCCGGACACCAAAGAGAAATATCCAAACCTGGAAGGCCATGATACATGATAGCACAAACCTTGGCCCGCGTGGGTGACCAGCCCAGTGACAAAGACTTTGCAGTCGAAAAACCCGACCACCATCCCGATATTTTGACACCGGTTTTCACGCGCACATCATTTTACAGCTCTGTGCAGCGAAAGGCTGAGAAGACCTCTAAGACCAAAGGCTGAAGACCGGCCGATCCGACACTGCACGACATGGTGAGTGGGAGCCCCGCCGAGCGGCCTGACCTAGCACCGACAAAACACTGGCGCAGGCGAGCTCCCCGACGCATGGCAGCCGGCAGAGTAGCGGGTCGACAGGCTGAGAGCCGTGGCAAGAAGCAACACGTCAAGAAGCGGCCGAAACGGTGTCCGACGTGTCCATCTCGGCCAACAGGCAGAGCAGCAGGCATTCGATGATCCTGCAGTGCGGATGCTATGGCAGCCCGGCGAGCATAAGGACCGCAGTCGATCCTCGCACGAGTGGGTCGGCAGGCCGCAGACGTGCACACATGATACTTTCACCCTTGCCTGCCCTGTCAGTATTGGGGAGACCACATGCGGACCATATCGGTTGGAGCGACAAGCCACATTGAGTTTTGGCTGCACTTGCACTTACGCTGGACTCGAGTGCGCTCTGGCCACGCTTCCAGCACAGCTCTGCTGGGACCGTGGCCGGCCAACCCAGCTTCTCACGCCGGTAGTGCTTTGGCTCTGGAGGGGCAGGCGAAAGGCGGGAGGCCACTAGCTTCCAAAGCAGAAACTGGCTCAACGTGTTTCCTTCACGATGCGAGTATCCTTGTCGAGTATCTTGCGATGAAGCGGTCTCCCTTCACCTGCTGAGACTGAGACTGGAACCCGCACCAGTAAACAGCGTCCGTGGCAGCAACCCGGGAACGAAGTTTTCGTGACAGGGGTCCTTTGGTGGAAGCTAAAGCCTGCCAGAGTCAGTGGTTGGGGAAGGGGAAGCACGTTCACTACAGGAACCCAAAGCCTGTTTCTCGGCTTTCGTCCTTCTCCGTTGCTCAAATGTCTGAAATCACACTCGATGTGTCCTGGAAAGTGCTGCTGACTGTGCAAACGACCATACCGCTGCAGAGAGGCACTGTGCCTCAGGATTCGCATGCAACGACATGTGGCGGTGCATGGCACACAGACTCATAGAGGGGTGCCTTGTATTCTCCATGCCGTCGCGTCTGAAGCATCTTCGCTGCATTCCTGAGTTGACCGGTGAAGTCAATGCAGCGAGTTGGACAGTTGATGCCTCGGCGCCAGCACAGCATTGCCGACCAGGGACTGAAAAAGCTGCACACAAGGAACAGTAAGCTTCGCAAACGCCCAGATGAGATTTGTAACCTGCAGAACTTCACTGCCCCCGATACCCCAAGAGGACTTGACACAAGCACACGGGGATGTTGCAGGGTTGCTTTTGAAAGCTTTTTGGCATTCTCCTGAAAGGCGTTAGCTCTGCCTTTCACCCTGTGGCCGGTTACTTCTTTGAAACTTTTCAGTTCGCCACGCAGCAAGACAAGGCCTTGTCTCAACTTGCCAAAGACTACGGAAACCCTTCTCTCATCCATGACGCCTCGTACGGTTTCAGTTCGCGCAACCGAGGACCAGCGAGCTCCGCTAGAATTCCGAACATGCCTTCATCGCGCACCTTGGCTCTTCTTGCGAGACTCTCAAACGGGTACCTCAGCGCCTTTGAGCACACATCAATGTGACCCCTGACGAGTTGGAAGTGCTTCCAACTGAGGCAAGGGCCGACAACCTGAGCTCACTTCGACTTTCCGAAAGCTGAGCACTGGCACTTCTATCTCTCTCGGCCAGGACACTCGAAACGGCTGATGAGTCCAAGCAACGTGGCACAAGACCAGGCGATGATGCTGGCACACTGGGCCGGAAAGCCAGCAGACTGTGCTTCAGCAGAGTTGCTGTCTTGGCCAGACTCCAACGCAAAAGTTGCTTTCCTGCAGTCCAAGACTTCCCCAGCGAGCTTATCAGACTATGAACACGCTGCCTCTCGATAGCCTTCATCATTGGGCCGAAGCCTCCCATGTGCTTTTAGAGCGATGCTTGTCAAGCGAAAGCAGGGTCGCCTGGATGCAGATGGACATCACTGATCTGAGATGGGTCCTGCAGCAGAGTTGCCTACGAATCTTTACGAAAGGCACCAGAGCACACCCACACCCACACACACTCCCACGCTTTGGCTCAATGACCTTCCGCAAAGCATTCGTCTAAACTCGCTCCTCAGAGCTGTGACGAGCGATACGGTGTAAAGCCGTGGCGAGGTTCACGCCTTCGCCGTGCACAATTGCTCACACTGGACATCGGAATGATCGGAGTGAACTCTCACCCGTTATTTCACCTCTTCATCTCATCTCCTGACAACTCTGCCGTTTGCACGAATTGGATCCCCTGTAATCGCACTGGAATCACATCCGCTTCCGACGCTTGCCCGTCAACCAGCGCCGTGGCACTTCTCTCGCCAAGTGGCCGTTCATCGACATCAGCCGACTCCAGGTCACGTCGAGAACTGCTCTAGCTTTTCCTCGCAGGGAAATGACAGAGCATGGCACGAAGGCTTTCAGAAAGAAAATGCAAGAGCATGGCACTAAACTGAGCCGAGTTTTTGGCTGCAGGCCTTTGCTTGCTGCATGAGTGATTTCACCTCACAGAGGGTTGCGCCGTCTCGACAGGGTTCTGACACATCGCTTCTGCCGGAACTTTCGTGTCAAGAGACGGTTGATCGTCTTGCTAAGGCGGAGCTCTTGAGCCCTGGTAGCCTCAGCTCGGAAGTGGTGCGCACATGCATACTGGGAGCCTCCCATCAAGGACTCCACCGGTACCGGTACCTCTCCTTCCACCACGGTGATGTCCGTGCACAGCTGGGGCTGTGTCCTGTTAGAAACCAATAAGGGGATGCACAGACATACCGTGCCAACCTGAAGAATGCGTTACTTGAGCGTGCCACTTGGATTTGTCGACTGCCCATCGAAGCTGACCATCTTGCAGTGATCGTCGTCGCTGGTCCTGCAAGACAAAGGCGATCGGTGGGTAAAACTATAAGATGCCAGCTCAGCCGACCCCTGAAGACTCACGACTCTCGCGAGCCAGAACCTTCTCGTCATCGTCGCTCCTGTTGCCTGGCACTTGCGAGCAACGCTCTTGAAGCCCAGGCTTGATGCGATCAAGAAGAAACCTTTCACATCTGCAGACTAAACGTGACAGCTGTCAAAGTATGGTTTGTCTGCAGACAAACAGACACACAAACGGACAGACATGTACGTGCATACACACACATATACAAACGTAGACGCAGACATACAGACAGACAGTGCCTGTGTAAGTGTTGAAAAGAAATGTAACAATGAATCACGGAATGTAGTGTTTGTGAAACCTGTGAAAGCCTATAATAACATGGTTCTGGTGGTATCACCGGCCATAAAGAGGCATCTTCGTTGACACGAAAACCTCTCCATGCGTCTCGGTTGTCTCAGTAGGATCGTAGAGCAGAGCGTTCATATCAAGGCGCTCTAAGACACATGTTATCATTGGCTATCCTACATCGTAGCAAGTTTATGCTCCTGCCTGGCTCTCTGTTACTATGTTTCCAGCTACCGGCAGACTATATATGCTCAGGATAACTGGTTGGCATGACAAACCGTTTGCTTCTTCCTGCCCGTAACCACACACACACACTCACAGGCAGACATACACCTCTAGTCTAGTTACATGCAGACAGAAAGGTCGGTACGCTGATGTGAAAAGAAAGTCGTGCTACCCTTGCTGTGCATCGTACTCTGCACCAGCATCGATCGCGTTTTGTTGCAATGGTTGTCGAAACGAATCTTCTTCGGTTTCCGTCAGGCACCTGGCAATGCAATGTTGAGCAGATTCCGACAGGCTGTGAGGGCAGCTAGGTTTTCAGAATGTGTCTCTTCCTCATCTTCTGTTTGCTGCTCGTCGTTCCGGCCGTGTGTCTGCTGCATGTGTTTTCTGCTGTTTAGCTCAACATCTTTCTACAGTTCTGTCGCTTTGTCTGTTCATCCCGTCACTTTTGTTGCTCTCCATCTACATCCTTTCCGTTCTCGCTCTTCCCCCCAAAGCCGAAAATGTACGGGGAGATTGTTTGCGCAATTGAGATGCTTGAGCTGAGTTGATTGGTGTTGAAGTGCTCAAAGCTGGAACGAAGTGTTGTCCACCCCCCAAACCACAAGAACAGGAAGGGAACAGCAGGCTGCAGCTCGGAGGTACGATCAAAATCAACTCAAAGACTCATAGTCTTTTCATAGTTAGTCTTCAAACGAGCATGATCCACGGCACATTGTCGCTACAGAGGTCGTTTCAATCTTGTTGGACTCCAGGTTGGCAGGACCTTGGAAGAGAGCGCCGAACTCTGACGACACGGCTTCAACTCTCGCTGCTCCGGTCCGGCTCGACGGCCGGTTCTGAGACGCCAGCAGGAAGACCACCGCTCCACAATATCGCAGAAAGGTCCACCCTCGACGAAGTGCACAAACCTTAAAATCACGCTAGTCACTGACACCTTGGTGAGTCAAAACACTGTGCGAGACGGGTGTGCAAGCAGGCCACGTGTTCTTTACAGGAATATCACCATATCCTTCAGCTTGGGGTGTCCTGGGCCCAAAGACACTAATGCTCCTTCAGTGGGCGACAAGTGAACACTCACAAAACTCAGTCTTCACATGCCTGGCACGATGTGTCAAAGTGGTTCGTTAGCCTAGCGCGAGGAACCGAAAAGCTCCTCATTCGCCCTGGGAGGCGGATGGACAATGTGTGCTGACTCTGGCAGGAGACGCCTCGGCAATCTACAACGCTTGTCGGACGTCCATGAGCCTTTGTCCGTGCGATCAGGATGCCAACCTTGTCTGGCAGCTGTCGTCTCTGCTGGAAAGCCCACGGCGAATTACTTTCGTGTTGTGATTGTGGCTTGATTTGCAAGTACTATGATGCCAGGTCTCTTTGTTGACTCAGCTGCTGGGTCGTGTCGTGGTTGGAGCTCGCCGGATGTAACGATGATGTTGTTTGTTGAAATTCTTGAGCCAACTCACGCATGGTCGCACTCTCAAAAGACTGTCGCAGTCCGTCTTGGCCTCATTCATACTTAAGCTCTACTCTGTGTGCGTTGATGCTGGGCCCCGAGCGGCGTAGGTATTGACCTAGCTTTCGGCAAACCTCCAAGCCCATTGCAACTCGAGGACTGCCAAGCAGAGGACAAGTGGCTATCTGACAACCCGATACGGTACGGCTTTCGCCTTGATCGCCTGTTTGCGCATCCCGCTTCATTCGGAAGTCTAGACCATGATCGGCATAAGTCGGCCTCCGCTGGGCAAGACCCCGAAGCAAGACACACACACACACACCTATATGCATTCGGCAGGTAGGCTCCAAGCTGATATCTGCGAGTTTCCAAGTGTTCCTGGATGTGCACTCAGCGCGGAGACAACACCGAATACACCGCGAGGCTCGTAGAGATGCACAAAACAAGACGGCGAAAAACGTGAGAAGCTCCTGAGCGCACACGAGGCCGTCGGACAGACGCGTCATTTGTGGCTTCAGCCTTTCTCACGATCGGACAATGCTACGACAAGCTTGAGCTTCCCCAGCAAGCCGCCATCAGGACTTGGGATGCGGCGTTGTCGGCTGCTCCCGCACATAAGAGCAGTATGGGGTCGACCTCGAGCCCATCATCTATGCAAAGGCAGTAGAAGTGACAGTCGTGGTGGCAGTAGTCATAGTAGAAGTAGTGGTAGTAGTAGTAGTAGTAGTTTTTTGTCACTCGCATAGTAGTAGCAGTAGTAGTAGTAGTAGTAGTAGTAGTAGTAGTAGTAGTAGTTTTGTCACTCGCATAGTAGTAGTAGTAGTAGTAGTAGTAGTAGTAGTAGTACTCACTCACTCTCGCAGCAGGGGAAGTCCGTCTGCTCAGCGATGTTGGCGCGTATGTTACGCGGAGGCCTAGCCTCATGGCACTGTGGCCACCCACCCTAGCCTAGCCGCCCCTAGGGGCCTTGAGGGAGTCTTCACAGCTTCGTTTGCAGCAGGATACCAAACCCAGGAGAAATCGTAAGAAAGTAAAGTCAAACACTCAGGCATGAAAAGTTTCCTTGAGCTGTGAAGTCCCTAGTCGCACCAGGCCTAAACTGATTGAGCAGAATTGAAGCCTAGCGCAACACAAAACTATGTTCGGATAGTGGCAGGATCAGGTCGTACAAACACCAAGTAGACATTCGACTTAGTGACAGAAGCCATATCACGAGTGGGAATCACTGAAGACACATTATCATCCGTGATCCGTGCTCCTCCCGAGTGGTCGAAGAGTAGGGCTCTGTAATGACCAGATCTAGGAGACTCCCCGAGGTGGATTACAGCCGAGCTAAGCACGTAGCTAATCCACATTACTGAGCCATTCCGCCACGTTGGGATCCTAACTGTTCTCGAAAGGGCCACCGGGACCCGTGACTTGTGAACCCGGCCACTCACGAGGCTGAAGCGATTTAGCTGCAGCGCTGCACAGGCTACTCCTGACGTCAAGGTAGGGCTTCCTGGAAGATTATGCCAGGCATTAATGGCTTGTTGCAAAGTGCAGGAGCCGTTGGTGCTCGGGAGTTGTTCAAGACTGCAGTTGAGCACTAGGGGGCATACATTGCCACAATCCTCGAGTTGGGCTCGATTGAGGATAGCCCAGCTACCCTGCAAGGCAACTGGTCTGCTGGCCTGGGCAAAGAAGGTAAGAAACTCCGCGGCGTCTTGCTGTCGGCCCGTATCTGGCCAGTGGCGCAATCTCCTGCGCCACACGGATCGTGACCATACGTGAACTGGGCTCTTTGCAGAGCTGTGTGCAAGGAGAGAGGCCAGGTCCTCCTGAAGAGAAGGCACAGCGAACACTTCAGCGGGACCTTGGAACTGGACTGAAACCCAAACTGTGGCTAAGAGGATTGCATTTGCGTAACAGTTGTTCGCCAAGTTTGATAGGGCCAATTGCTTTAGCTGCATCAGAGCAGCTGGAGCTTGCGAAGCTCCCTCTCGAGAGACTGGGCCAAGGGTGACCTCCCCCGCTTGTCGCGACGGATTGTCGTCGCCACGAGCTGCAAACAGGCGTTTCCAGCTAGAGCTTCCAGTATGGTCCAAAAGCGGTAAGCCCGTGCTTCGCGAAGTCCTAAGCTGAGGGAGAACGTTACTGCCGAGCCTGTCATATGAGGGGTCAACCTGCGAAGCGGATGATAATTGATGAGAACACCGTCGTCTCGACAAAGTACGATGGTCTCTTGAAGCATGTCCACTATCTCCTTCAAGGTCAGTGGGGCAATCGTGTCCACTGGGTCCAGTCGGCGATGAGCCGAGTTCCACTTCACAAACTTGAAGCAGTCCGGTTCCGTGAGGATTTGCAGCCTCAGAGCCTCTTGCCTGCTTTCCTGGCTGGTCGTCAAGAGCTGCATCCGCTTGATCAGTTCCGAGGCCCAGGTCTGCCATAGCACTACCCTCAATGGCTGAGTCACCTGAGCTGGGTTGGTGTCCTTGAGCTGGTTCCACTCTGCTGCTATCACCGCCTGCGCATCCACCACTGTGAGTGGCGGGGCCGTTCCTTGAAACAAGATCCATGTGGTCGATTGCTCTATGGCATTCAAGGCATCCGCCTGCCTCAGCACCATTTGAACGATCTGTGTGATCAGAGCTGACGAAACCGTAATCTTGGAGGGTGGGCTGCCGCTGGGGGTTGGGGAGAGAGCCGAGGGAGCTGCAGTCGACGGTGCGGCTCGTGAGGGGAACTGGCGCCGGGTGGCCTGTTGCCCCTGTCGGGGCCCCTTGCCACCCTGACCCTGGCCCTTGTCGTTGGGTCGGACAAACTTGCTCGGCGGTTCCTCGTCTTGGGCTGCCGGGGGGTGGAGTGCTGGAGCAGGTGTGGCTAGGTTGGGGCCCATGTGAGGGCTCCGCAGTGGAACCTCCGAGGTCGGAGGAATGGAGTTGGCCGGGAGGCTCAAGTTCTGAGACGGGGCCGGGAACAGGAGGGTGCCTGAGTGGAGTGGCTCTACCAGTCGCCTGCCCTGTAGTGCTGAGGTCTGTAGGAATGCCAGTTGGGCCGCTGCCTCCTCCAGGTCTTCCTTCGACACTCCCTCGAGGTCCATGGGGCCTTCGCAGCCGTGGCAGTGCAGACGGGTTGAGGAGGGCTTGGAGGAACTTAGACCATTGAATCATTGCACACTCCGAGGCGTGCTTGGCCTGATCACCCTTGAAGGAGCGCCCGCAATATCTACAGGGAGAGCTGAGGGCCAGTCCCCTGCGGAAGCTGTAACAGTGCAGTCTGGCATGAGTGAGTGCATCAAGCGCCCACGGGTGGTGGGCCTTGACATGAAGCGTGAGCCCACGGGCCTGTATCAACCATTGACCGCATATCGGACAGTAATGATAGCACTGCGGGTTTTCCTTTTTCGTGGAGGCATATACCGCCTCCCATCCTCTGTTGGCTGCATGACGTACTTCCGTGTGCCAGTACGGGCTTAACTGATTGGGCTGGGCAGGACTACTGACGGGGTTTTGAGCATCAGGGAACAACACTGAGCAGGCTCTCGTGAAGATGTGAATCTTGAGATCATCCCATCTGGCACACTCTCTGTCACAATGTCGGCAAACACAGAGGCCTTGACGTGCATGCAAGTCAGAGAAACACGTCTGCGGATCTGCAGTTTTGAGACACTCGGGGAGGTCCTGATTCATACTAGTCTCTTGGTGATGTGCCTGGACCTGCCTTCTGGTATACTTCTTCATTGCCCGAAGGGTCTTGGGATCTTGGACGGTCATGGAGGGTGATGTAGAGAGGCAGGGGAGTGAATGTGAGGGGCCGGGTTCAACATGGGATGTGGGATGGTGGGTATTGTCTAAAGAAGTGGATACCGCCTGGGTGCATGCTTCTGCTTCGGGGGTGTGGATGATTGTGGCTTCTGCCGGATGTTTGTTGGCTTCATGCACTCTTAAAGCACCCAGTGACTCGAACTGCAGGTGACAGTGTGGGCACTGCAAAACTCTGAAAGCGTGGGCTCGACGGTCACTGGCACATCGTAGGCCGCCGTGAGACGTGCCCGGTCCATTGTTGGGCTCAGAGCCCACCTGTGGTAGCTGCAGGTGATCCAGGGGCGGCTCAGGTGGGTTGGTTGCAAGGGGGGAGCACGAGAAAGAAATCGAGAGCAACTGACTCCACTGTTGGTGATGCAGAGTTTGATGCGACGGCACTGCCAGGGTTCGGGGTCCTGTAAACTGTTGGCATAGCATGTTCCAGGGGTCTGCTAATCCAAGTCGTTGGAGGATTTCTGTGGAAGGAACATGCCAAAGGTGAGCTGGGGAGCGCGCTATCATGCGAAGCTGCCGGTGCACCGCTTGCCGAATAACCTGTGGGCCGTGGCTCGGAAGCCCCACGTGATGGAGGGAGTACCGAAGCACACTGAAAACACACGCAATCCAGAGCCTGACCTTGGTTTTCAGGGGGAGGGCTCGGTGAATTAAAATGTGATGAAGTCTCCAGAAGCTGCCCCAGGCTGTGGCTAGGCGGTGCTTGAGATTTTGATTCTCAAAGCCCTGGTAGGAGAGGCGAGCCCCTAAGTATGTGTGTGCATGTACCACCTTGATTTGCACTCGAGACTGGCCTACGGGGATATGGAGAAAGGTCTCATTGTTCTTGTAGGTCCGGTAACCGCCGATGACGGAGGCTGCACTTGTGCCAGTGGATGCTAGCAGCAGAATGGTCTTTTCAAGGCTCA